ACCAGAGCGTGGACGGTGCTATCGCGTCCGTTTCAAGGATGGGTCTGAAGATTGGCTTTGTCGTCGAGGCCTCGAAGAAGACGGCAACACCCAGGATTGTGACTTCGTTGACGCGTGGTACGATTTAGATAAATGCCGCACGAAGACGTTCTGCAGGTTCTTGAAGGGCCTTCCTGGGTACCGCTCTCACCAGAAGGCAGGAGAAGATGTGGACTGTGTTCGTCTCGCAGTGAATGCCATATACGAGCGAAAAGGTTGGGCTCCCCTTGGGTCTAGGGAAGACTGGGAGACTTTTCTCAAGGCAAAAAACATCAGCTTGGACGAAGGGCTTGGAATGAGGAAGTTAGGTGTGCTCTTGAAATGGATCGAAGAGAACGGAAATGCACCTAATCTGCGCCTTGACCGAGGCTACTTCGCCAAGAAAGCAAATCTGTTTAACGGACGGTGTGACGGTGTTGACGGTATATTCGACCTGGAATTGGAGTGTGGGATGTATCTAGTGAACTGCGACCTCTCGGAGACTCTGAGTCACTGTATGGCACTGGAGGTTCTGGACAAGACACGCAGCCACCAGGTCTACGATCAACACTCGTGGATTGGACTGATCGACAAGGAAAAATGGCTGTACCGCGTTCGTGGAGTTTACCATGCTGCGTTTATGGGGGGCTCGAGTCCACCATCGAAGAAGTGCAAGACATCGTACAAAAAATCCTCGGGAGAAAGTGAAGCCGCCTAAGACACTTTAGGACGGCACTATTTCCAGGGGACGACCTCATTAAGCATCGTCTGAAGTTGATGACAACAATTCTGGATCTTTCATCCTTGATTACAAGATTTTATAGTTGGTGTATCAATAACTTCTATTCTTTATGTAACATTAGATTGCATAGTTGAGCTGATACTCGACAGTGTAAATATTTAACTAGGTAAAATTGAGAGGTCATAACCGTCTATAAACTATAATATAGACGAACTTTCAAAGAAAAAAAAGAAAGGAGAGCCCCCAAACGTCGATGAAAAGGACAAGTTCTCAGTATAGCCATCATAACGGAAATTGGCACCAGACTATAAGAGTCTCTGAAGTTGAGGATGTGCGGTGATAAAAAGGCCATATTGGACGACATGATTTTGCTAAAATACGCACGAGCGCTTAACGCTACTCCATGATTCGACGATAATTACAAAATATTTTGAAAAACAAAACTTGCGGGAATCAAAATAAGAAAAATATGAATGATGAACTATCATTTGTGTTTAGGACGTTTTGCCGTTTTGCGTATGACAGTGACAACCTGACATATATGATTATCGAGGGTATATCTGTATTGATATATAATGCCTATTTACTCACTGACTTGTAAATTTAATATTTATAAACAGACACGCATCCCGGCACAGTCTGCGTTAATTGGCGTGCTTCTTCTTCCTTGAACAACAACTTCGTACCCTTCTTCTCTGCGCGTCTAGCTATCTTGGCCATCTTGACCGTTGTCTTGCGAGCACGCTTTTCCTCTTTCGTCTCGCCCTTCTGTCTTCGACTATTTTCAGACTGACTCTGCTTGTTGAATTGGCTCTTAACTGACGACGCAACTTCAAATACTCCCAATGGCATTCCCGACTTGCGTGACAGCGTTACTTTCTGCTTATCATTTCCCTCGGCAGTGAAAGCAAGTAGCGGCTGTTTCTTATTTTTGCGCCGGGTCGGGGTACTCTCTCGGAGCAACGTAGGGTGATTATCTTGAGTCGAATATGTGCTCACAATAGTCTCACAGTCCCATTTCTCGTGTTCTTCACGCTGTAGATACTGATTTTGCTTAAACAGCTCCTGTAGCTCTTTTTCCTCGCGCTCAGTGCGCGCTAATATATCCTCTGGCTCTTCCTCGTCTTCTGTTTCTGCATTCTCATCAAACTCGTAGGCATGGCGCTGGGTCTCACATTCCTCTAAAACTTGTTTAAGATTGTTGCCTGTGCGCAGTGGATTTCCTAGCCTTCCCTCTGAATCTGCCAGCTCCTGCTGCACAATGACGTAATCGTCCACAATTGTAGTGAGCAGCTCGCCTTGCAGCGTCTCTTTTCCGCGCGTCTTCGGGTCATCCTCTTCCAATTCACCAAACTGCTCGTCATCGTACTCTTCAGCTAATGTCTTTTCAAACAGCTCGTCCAGAGCTCTTTGAGCCTCGTCACGGTCCATTACGGCTTCGTCGTCTTTGTAATAATCTTCACTATTCTTCCGGTCATTGTCGTTATCGCTCAGATCCTCATCCTCGCTATCAGTAATGTTGCCGCGGCACAATGGAACGAGACCGCTTGCTGCCTCCATAAGTTTGGCAATATGTGCGTCATAATCAAAACCATCATCACCTTCCAATTCTGCGTTCTCCTGAGCTGCTTCAGCCACAAAATTGTCATCGAGCTCTTCAAAAGCTTCGTCATTTACAAGCGCTTCTCTTAAGTCATCATCCATGACATCTGTGGTCAGCGTAATTGCATCTAGAAGTCGATCCTGTTCGGTGCTAGGCAGTGCATCTTTTGGCAAATCTACTTTCCTCGACAAGACTCGAGCTTCTTCCCCAGCATCAAAGCGGCTAGTAGCTGAATAAAACTTTCCTTCTCCCATCTCTTTCATGTGCTGCGAGTAGTCATAGCCGTCTCTTGGAAGACCGTTCTCGTCCACAAGATCTTCGGCAACGATGCCACCAAAGCGAACCTTGCGTACGGGGAAGGTGCTTTTGCTAGGCTTGGCATTAAAAGTTTGGACGGCCTTGACAGGAGCGACAATGAGATCCGGCATTTCTTCGTCGCTGTCAGAATTAATTTCATCGTCTTCCAGCTCAGAGTCAGAACGAAGCTCCACGGGTTGACTGGAAGACAACAGCACGTATTTTGAGGCCTCCGGATCATTGGCCTTAGAGTCGCGCTGGCTGCGGTGTACAACATGGAAGTGCTGCGCTTTCTTCTTGTTAATGAATTGTTTCTTGCGAACCTTTTAAAGTAACACGGCGTCGTCAAACACCTGTAAGACGTGCTGACAATAACGTGCAGGGCTTACCATATTGACGCTGATGTTTTTACTGGCTGTGACAAATTTATTTCCCGAATCCAAAGATCAGATTTAACAGGGCAAGACGTAAAGCTGCTCAAGATTGCAAACTGTAAGTCGAAGAAAGCTCGCATTTCCCTTCTGTCAGCATCCATGGAGTCCCAAGAGCGAAGGAACATCGATGATGCTCTGTCGGCAGAATTTCAGTCGTCTAGCCGGATTACAGAGACCGAGATAAGTCCGCAGCTTAAATCAGCAGATCCAGTAGCGAGCTCAGAGACCGAGCGCCGGGAGACGCTTCGTACACTGCGCCTAGCTTTTGTAGGTAATGTAGACAGTGGGAAGTCCAGTCTCATTGGTACACTTATCAAAGGGGAACTGGACGACGGTCGAGGTCTTTCTCGTCAGGCCATTTTCCGGCACAAGCACGAAATTGAAACTGGCCGCACCAGCAGCGTGGCCACAGCCTATTTGGGTTTTGATGAGAGTGGAGATCAGATTCTGTCAAAGCGATCAGGCAAGCTTATTCCTTGGGGAGAATTAGCCAAAATTGCACACAAGCGGATTCAATTGATTGACTTGGCTGGTCACGAAAAGTACTTGAAGACAACAGTGTTTGGGCTCACAGGTATGCAGCCAGATGTAGTCGTAGTTGTTGTGGGGGCCAATATGGGCGTCAAGAGGATGACCAAGGAGCATTTGGCCATCGCTGTGGCGGTGAGTATTAGCTCTTGGTTACTTTGACACAGAAAGAATAATCACCTGATGTGGAACGGATGTAGTTGGAGATTCCCATTGTGGTTGCACTAACAAAGATCGATATTGCACCCAAAAATGTGGCGAAAGAGACACTAGTGACTGTACGTCAAATCTTACGACGCTGTACGTTGCTGTTTTGTTTCTTGATGCATGTAGTTTTATACTTAATTTGTTATCCTACCAGACGGTAAAATGGCAATGCTCGTGAAGACACTGGAGCAAGCCGTGACAGCAGCAAAAAGTCTGCCGTCGAATCGTATAACACCAGTTTTACCAATATCTAATGTCACGGGTGATGGATTGGAAAATCTTCGACGAATACTTTGTGAGACGTCGCCGTCGGCGCTATACAAGGCAGGATTGTCCGCCTCAACTCTTGCAACGACTAGATCGATCAACCAGGAGGAGCGTATTGCAGTCGCAACACCTGCCACTGGAGGTGACTCAAAAAAAGTTGAGATACGTACAGATGATTTGGTTGAAATGCCAATTGACGAAACGTATCAAGTTCCCGGGGTAGGCTTCATTCTCGCTGGTACTCTTGTGACCGGAGCTTTCAAGGTTAATGATACGTTGCAGATTGGACCTGACTACAATGGAAATTTCCACAAGGTCACCGTACGTTCGATGGAGTCGATGTATATGCCACTGAAGGAGCTTGTCCCTGGACAAACCGCAGCGCTGGCTGTCCGGTCGATCAATAAGAAATTTTTGCTAAGTCGAGCCACATTCCGTAAAGGAATGATTTTGTTAAGCCCGGAAATTAAGGTGGACAATTACGTATCGCGATTGTTTGAGGCTCGTGTTGTGATTCTGCACCACCAGACAACAGTAACGGTCGGCTACCAACCGATGATTAACTGCCGGACTATTCGACAAACCGCAGAAATAGTCTCCATTGAATCGAACCAAGATGTTATTCGCACAGGAGATAAAGCACTGGTTCGATTTAAATTCATTCACGCACCCGAATTCTTAAAGAAGGGCATGCGATTTGTGTTTCGAGACGGCCAAGCGAAAGGAATCGGCAAGGTTGTCCGGATAATTCCCACCGCTCATTTGGAGGCAGTGGAAACCTCCACCAAATCTGATTGAAAAATCGGGGCTTGGTGAAAATCAGTCTACCTGACTGTGCCAAATGGAAAAGGAGGTTAATTTAGTTAGTTGTCTTCGTAACAGAGTGTAACGTGTACAAACCACATTTTTCTATTTCATGTGATGACCAAATTTCGAGACGAAGCTTGCATGCTTTCATTGTGAGAAATGTACCGACATTCCACATCTTAGAACTTAATTGCACCCACAATTCATCTTGGTATTTGCTATAATGCTGACTGACGGCTAAACACGAACCACAGATGCTTTAATAGACTTTTATTTCTCTAGAACGGGAGCTATTAGACTTGCGTTCTACAATTTCCTAAAAGCAAAACTACGGAATGAACACCTAGAAATCCTAGATCAAAGCAGACATTTTTTACTGCACGCCGCGCTTATCCTTCACTTCACCTTCTTTCCTTCTTCACCGGAATAAGTGTCCATGGCTGTGACGATCTCATGAAGCGCAGAATATTCTTCCAATGCAAACTCTAAAAACTGCTCGGCATCAACACCGACGCAAGGGTCCACAAGAACATTAAGACCAAGGTCATCACCCGTCGACAGTATGGCTACCCCCAGGTTGACGTAAGGTGGGGGTGGCACGAAACCGTAAAAGCCAGAAACCTGCTTGTTACACAAACTCATTTCAATAACGCTGGCACGCACATTCGTAACAGCTACAGAAATGCGACTCGTGAAAAAATGCACAATTGACCGCATCAGTGGTGCTGGTAGTTGTGACAAAAGGTGGATCGAATAGTACATGAAATATTTTGCTAGCGAGTTTTTGACTCCATTCATCGAACTTGTGACTCGTCGCAAGCGCTGTGCAGGGTCTTCGATACCAAGTGGAAGGTCGATTATAAGCGAAGAGAACTGGTTGCTGGTGTGGCGGATACTTTTACTACGAGAGCGCATGTCAACCGGGATGGCGCATCGCACCTTCAGCGATGGTTCTACAGATTGCCCTTCTGCAAGCATGGTCCTGCGCATAGCTCCCGCCAAGACAGTGAGCATCACGTCATTAACTGTCGCTTGAAAATGTTTGCCTACTGCCTTGGTTGTTTTGACGGAGTATTTCATCTTGTACGATAAGCGTTTACGCGTGCCACCCGGGCGTTTGAAAACCGTGGCCGGCTCAGGACGCGTCATCATTGCAAACACGTGGTAGAAGATTACGTAGATCGACCATAAACAGAGGTATAGATACGCCAGAAAACTTTTTATAATCTTGCCCATAGATTCGCGAGATTTTACGTTCGTAAGATTATTCTTCGCATGTGAGCGCTTTTCAGAAAAATCGCTTTGGTCGCTGAGCTTGACCATTGCCAGGGCGAGCGAGGCGCCATCCCCTAAACAGTGATGCACCTTCCAGCCAATACTCGTGTTTCTTGGACTGCTATTAGGGTCAGAAATCACGTGCATCTCCCAAAGCGGCTTCTTAAAATCTAACGGTGAGTTTACTAACACCGACTCGACGTATGATAGGGTGGTCTCACCGTCTTTGACCGTGTGCTCTACCACGTTCTGCGTTATGTCATAATTGGGCACCTCCATGTACTCATACTCACCAGTCTGATGGTTGCCATGGACAATGCTGCGCCACCGCAGGAAAAAGGGGTCCTGCAATAGACGCTCTTGCAAGAGTTTGAGGTAGTCTTCTCGGGTAAATGAACCTTCCAAAGTCACGACAGACACAGGAATTGACAAATTCGAGGGCACTTCAGTCACAAGTGTCGAAAGCCCGATGTTGCTGAGCTTACGTGTAAGCTTTCGAGCTTGTGTCATATGTTCGCTTGTTCTCGGACGCTGTTGCAATCTCGACGTCAAAACTCTTAAGAGAGTTAGAAGCAGCACAATCGCCATTATTAGCATGGAAGCGCCGCTCATTGACGGTATGTTTGTCTGTAGCCACGTCAGAAGGTGATCCATCTTAGGTGGCGATCACTAAGTTGAGTAAATGGAAATCGAGAAATGCAAGTCATGTGATGCAGTAGAACATGATGCAGTGCTGACGCACATATTAAACCCTATTCCCCTCAACAAAAAACTACTGCAAATCAGAGGATATTAAGTAAATGCACATCGTTTAAGTTTCGATTTTTAAAACAATCAATCAAATTTGTCAAAATGCGCTTTCACTTGAAAACTAAAAAAATAGGAAAAAGAGGAAAACAATATTAAAATTTAATGAGAAAATCGATTGAAACTGAACGTCTATTTCTATTGACCACAGTATATCAAAAGCATAAAAAAAGCCATTGGCCTGTACGGTGTAGAAACTGCTTCGCTCGTATCATTCGGATAAGTGAATCAAGTGCTAACAAGCTCTGGGATACTTCCAGAACGTTTCGCGGCGATATTTTTGCCAACATGGACTGCCGAAGGTAATTGTTTCGAGTTTCAATACATACTCATTCTCACGCGAGATTTTATTGTCATTGTTCAGAGAACGATCGTACGAGGCGGTAACCCTTCGTCCATATCTTGGTCTAATCCATGAATATCGCAACTATTTTCATCCAAAAATTGATAAAATACGTCTTTTTATCAGAGGAATTGACGCTCGACATCACTCGCCTTTCCCTAAGAGACATTTAATTTTCTTCCAAAATCTGGCTGGTGCGTTCCCAGAGCTGTGTCGCCGTCTCTGTCTCATAGCTAGTATACGCGCTGACGCGAGCAAATTTCGTTTCTTACCCGTGTTTCGGTAGCAGAAAAATTTCTACGGGATGTATAATTCACACGAGCTTACTAAGCGTATCTTGTCGTTCAGTGACAGATAATCGAACCACGAGTGGAACATCTTAACTGAGAATACAGTCTGGTAAGATTCGGTCGTCAGATTGACAGCAAGTACTAATAAGCACAATCCAGTTTTTGGGCACTGGAAGTTTTGACTCAAAAATCCAAATGAAATTACGCACAGAGGACGGCTGTACGCTTCACAAAGGCGCAAAACCGATAGCCTTTCCGAAATTTGGTACTTAGGTATGATTTGCGCTTTAAAGAGTGATAGACACACCTGATTAGGTTTCATCAGAACTCAAAATAATAGTGTAACCATGTTTTACCATATTCACTAATAAAAGTGTATACATATAGGTATGAGGTGGCTGTGAAGCCCAATGCTCACGTACACGCCACAGAAGAAGTCCCATCATCAGTTTTGCAGCTGCACATACAACATTACGCGGTAAATAATTGACCAGCTTCTATATCCGCGATATTCGAGAATATGAATATTGATTGTGTACTTCTTGATTGACCAGCTTATTATATATCAGCCATATCTGATGATACAAAAATTGATTGTGTACCGCTCTTACTTCGTCTACGAGGGTATAATCGAAAACGTACAACATTATGATGGATGAACACATTAAACTATTCTACTTCAGACTTAAAGCAAGGATCAAAGGTACAAAGGCAGAATGACATCATGAATTTAAATGACTGGTACTTGCTTTGGGTGAGTGTGGTGAGAATCCACAAAGAAGAGGCTCGCGAGACACGTGGTCAGCTTTCCTCAGGCTACGCGTTAAAAAAGATTATCGTCAGAATAGTAATTTAGATGCATTTAACAATAATATTACGATGTTCTTACTTCTAAGTACAACTTACTTGATCTAGAAACGGAAAATAGGTAACTAGAGGGACTCGTTTTTTAGTCCCGCGGTGGTGGAAGATTATTTGATATCTATGCTTTCGCCAACACGGACCTGATGTGTAATGTGGTATCTATTGTACTATTGTGTTCGTACAAATTGCAATTACTCTTCTGTGCAATAGCACAAAGACACAATTACGTTTTCTCGCAATTGTGCAGAATGTTAAAAGCCGTGAATATTGGTACCGATGATGACGATGAGAATCTGTGAAAAACTAGTAGTGGGGCACGTGGGAATTTAGCCTCATGCCATTAATTTATTTGATAATAACTCTAGATACACTTGAGTTTAAAATCACTTCTTCTTTGTAAGAGAAGAAAAGATCATCATTTTTCTTTCATTTCCTTGCAAAATTAAGTAGATGCCGTATTTACTCTGCGCTTTCACTCGTGGATTGAAGGGGCATGCCGAATCTTAGTGTACTTTTCGCGATCTCTTAGAGTCAAAGCTTTCTTTGTGCATTGTACATGAGCGTGGTAGCACTGATAATCGACCCAAAGACCGTGGTGAGCAAAGGCTAAATATTTTTTAAGGAAAAAAATGAGAGCTGCTTGAATACTATTCGCAGTATTACTGGATATGCATGTACGCATTTGATTATTTTTGGCAGCAAGTCGTTTTGCGCTTGAAGTGTCAAGAGGCAAAGAATAAATATTGCTTTACATGCGCGCATCAACTATAAAATTACGCTGTTTAGGCTGAGATAGTCATAATTCATGGTCCAGATAGAGTCAGCACGTGGCGTTAGCGGTCTTAAGGCTAGGAACCAAGCATGAACTTGCACGAACACGCAATTCCTATGAATTCAGAAACGGCAAATGTCGCGGATCAATAGTTAGGCTTTCAGATTGTGCCCAATTTCTCGTCTACCCATTCCGTTTCGTAAAATTATGGTATTACGGTCAACTGTGTCGGTTTCTTGTTGCCACGATGGGGGTAGGTACTCGTCAGACGGCGGAAACAGTTATCACGATTGTTTGTTGACTACAAACCGATGCAGCCCATTCAAAGAACTTCCGAATAAATACTACCTTTCTTAATCTTGTGGTGTGTGTTATTAATTACCGATAAACAATTTTTGTGCAGCAGAAGTTGACTCTGGTATGGAAAATGGAAGCTTTACAAGCTGGCGTGGACCTCATTCGTACCGAGGAAACTTGTGACTTTTATGCAGCCGAGTCAAAAAACTTCGCAAATGCTAGAGCTGTGTAAGCATCAAGCATTTTTGTACTGCGCACCAACTTTCTGCGGCTTGAAGGTTTGACAGGACAAATTCATATCAGACACCCCCCTCCTGGGGAAATGTCGAATCTCGGCAGGCACGGGCTGCCAATTTTTGAACCAGGCTCTAGGGTCAAGACTTATAGCCTATTCCAAGTTAGTCGCGAGAGCCATCGTCTGCAGTTATGTTGATATTGGGAAATTTTGGTAGATTAAAAATAACCATGCTATTACAGTTGACGCGCGAATGCCAAAGATAGTCGACAGTACGCGGAGGCAATCGAGATACATAATCACATGTAATTAAAAAATACATCCATCTAGCGATGAGGATACTTGCTCAAGAGATGAAGGCTCTTTCTCGTTTAGATTGCAGTTCAAAGCTTCGACAACGCAGAGTGTTGTCTCATCCTAAGCTAAATTCAAGATACGGTGTCTTTTTTGGTATGGCGTGACCGGAACGCCATGGGATATGAAAAAAATGGATGTCAACTAAGTGAGCTGATACATTCTTCATCCTGAATAGAGCGTTGATTAGGCGTCTGTACCTTCTGATAGAAAGAGGCAGTAAATTCTGATACAACAATAACTGTACGATATCTTTTGTGCAAGATTTTATTATGTCAGAAACATTCTATCAGTGACAAGACGCAGAAGTAACATCGAGCTGCTGACTCCGGATATGACAATGAAGAGCAATAGTTTATTACGGTCTCTAATGTATCTCTGCTACGATAGAAAATAGTGGCAGTATGTCACTGTATCCTGAGTTTTACGGTAGGCAGAAAATGGATTTCGCTTAGTGTACTTATGTGAGCTCTATCATTATCACCTCGTGAAAGATAGTGGAGTCCACCTCACCGCAGTGACGGTGTCCGAGACTCGTACAGCAGGAAGGCTGGGCATAGCGAGTGTCTTCTCCTCGGGAAGCTGCAAAAGTGCGTATTGTCGGGTGAGGCTGCAGGCATTTTTTGTAATTTGTAGAATCATTCGGATATTTTTTATCAACAATCACATTTGTTTTTCCACCGGCGGATTTTAAAAGCGCTTGGGTAGACTGTGCTTTCAGCACGGACTTGTTACCATCGAGCTCGATAGACAAGGGTGTGACTTCAGTGCAAGTGCGCTAGACGTTCGGCAATTGAAAGTTCGGAGAATAGAAGAGAACTTCTTCTGCAGTGATTGCCCGTGAATTGATCATTTTTACTCAGTGTCTTAAAAGAACAAATCTCTGAGGGTTTATTAGCGCAAAATCTAAGAGCCAAAGCTTCTTCTGTGCTAAGTTTAACGTAAACCCTTGACACCGGCCTCGATCTACTCTGAAGTAAAAAGGCACTGTGACAAATTTTTCAAGGAGTCACGCGGCACTATGATCGACGAGAAGTACCTTTTCTCCTCTATATATAATTTTGAAAAATTGATCCTCAAACGGTGATTTGTTTAGCGGTCTGCTGACTGAAGCTCACTTAAGATATGTCAGATGGATGGGGCGAGGCGTCTTTCTCACCTAGCACGCGAATTTCGGGCCATAGATTTCAGTACTTCAGCCGACATTCAGGGCCTATACAAACGATCTTAAAAGGCACAGGTTATCACACTCACCGCTGCCTTTTACGCAAGCAGGGCTCTTCAGATTTTTTTTATTTGCAGGCTCGGCGAGTGCCCGCGAAGCGCTTCTTTATACTCGTTCTGTTCTTAATTTAAGCAACAGGTCCGCACACATAAGTAGCTGAGGGTAAATTCCTGGTGTGACAGGCAACATCAAATAGATTATTGATATAGTCGAGCTTGCAAATATTTGCGCTTACAGTCGGAAGGCTCTGCAACTTGAGTCATCACCAGCTCAATTGTGATCAGCTAGACGTCCCCTGAACTTGGCGGTGGAGTGATTCAGCTCTTCTCACCTTATGAATCGGGCACGAAGTGCATAGTTTGTGCAGCAATAAGGCCGTTGTGGAAGCGCCTCTCCGCATTGAGCGGCTCTGTCATTTGTCTCTCAGTGAGTGCGTGGTGCTGTCGCCATGACCATTTCCATGGGAAATCGTCCAGTATCCTTACCGAGAAGGAACCTGAAATGACTGCCAAAAGGACTGCAACGTCCTCAAAAGCTTGTTTTGCCATTCGAGAGTAAGGTAATGGAGGAAACTCTCGATGCAAGAAATCCGGTAAGAACAGGCATTGAAGAGTGCAAGGAGTAAAGCGAAGCGTCGAGTGCTGTGAGAACTTGTTAAACGTTTAAAATTGAGCAATGTTGCAATCAAACAAAAATTTTATGAGTCTCAGTGCACTCCACATCTAGTGGGGGGATGTGGCGGATTACCTGTTGTGATGATGTGAGCTTCTTTTTGTACAATTCTGCAAACGTCGGATGTACCAAAGTGTCGATACTAATTAGGACGATGGGACTCTGTGAAACACCGAGAGACACATGTCATATAAAACATTCAATTAAAAACGGTTTCTTTGAATAGACTAATTTTAGGTCACTTTCAAAAACAGATGAAAGCAACAAAAGCTAACTTAGTGCATAGTTGTAGCTACCAATGCAACCACTATGCGCTGTAACGCTGAGTAGGGTTTCCATTAGACTTCCAAAGGCGTCGATATATGCCGCGAGACAAAGATATAGCGACGAATTTACACATGCGCACATGCGTGGTTATCTTAAAATATGTTTGGCCATCAGTGCGTAACACTCCTGTGGTAGTATGTATCGTATCTTCCGGGGATGGTTAGATGTGCCTTGTTTAGTTTAGTATTTATAGTTCTCCTCATGGGCCTCAACCACATGTGCTTCAATGCTGTAATGTAAGAAACCATGGACTAGATAGAGCGGTGCAGACGTGCAGACGTGCATCCACGATCTTTCACAACGCGGCATCCAAAAAAATTCGTCATATTATGTTTTGTAAAGCTTTCATCAACACAACACGCAATCCTAGTGACCCGTATAAGCTGTGCGTGAAGCCTCATTAATTGGCGACGTCGCCATCGTGACATACTGCAATTTATGTCGATGTAACGTACAAGATTATCCGCCAGATATAATGTCCTCCTGTCTTATTCTATACCTAGAAAGCATACACGGTATGGAATGGTCACAATCTTTTACCTTGTTTACCTCACGAGATTGGGTGTTGCCGTCGCTGTGCGCAACGTCGCATGATCTCTATATATCACTAACTCATAGGGTCAAGCAGGTGCACCCTGAACTTTACAGTAACATACTTCACTGAAAGTAGCGCGCTGGAGCAAACAAATTACTTCATTACTGTTGCTCTAATAAGCAAGACTTAATCTTAATATGCGAATACGTCCGTCTCTGCCAGGTGCAAAGTACAGCCTATTTAAGCGTCAAAACGTCCAAGACGACATGAAATGGTCGACCTATGTTCGGATAAGCGAGGATAGATGCACGCTATAACGATCTTGAATGTCTTTCCTCTATCGGGTTCCAGTCCAATATTAATGACGGCCGCGGCATGTTTCGTAACTTGAACTGTACTCGTTTAGAAAGCTGGCTTGGCCAAGCCGCTGTTGTTGTCTCGTTGGGACAACAACACTTTCAAAATCAGTAATAGCCTTCGTTTTTGCAGAAACTGCCCGCACACCACGCTTTGCATGAAGTATTGTAAATGAAGATCTTGTCGTTGCTAAAGCCACATGTGTCAATATTGACGAACAGGGTATCGAAGCGCATACGTCGGGCACTGGTCACAAGTATTTGATGTGGTTTGCTGCATTCAACTTTTCATGCCATGCACGACTATGGATGAATATTTCGTCAAAAATGGTAGGTTTATGAATAGTTTTGTATCCTGACCAGATGCGTTGCGAGGAGTTTCGCGGGAAGTTTGAACGTCGCAAGAAATTTGAACGTCGCTAGTGCGTCATACTTTTTTTATGATATAACCATCCGCTACCAGAGCATCGCACTCAATGAACTCCCCACAGTGAACGAGAATTCGCCTCTTCTTATGAGCAATTGATAATATCAATTACCCAGGAACAAGTATTCCCTGATGATAAGCTAGACCGCGTTTTTTCAGTGATTGGTATTCGCATCCAAATTGCAGCTTTATTTAACTTTTTAAAAGCATGGAGAATCCTCGATCGCCGTTGGCCTCTCCTACCCGCATAGTCAGCGTTGAGTGGACAATCCAATGCCCTGTACCAACGCTGTCGTAGCTTTAAATCTGCGCCAAATGCGCTTCTGCTTTGTGGTTGAGGTGGGCTCATGGATTTCCACAGCTTCTCCAAGAGATGCATAGCAGCTAATGTTTTCTAGCATTTCGTTGACCAATGGCTTCGTGACATTCCAGCCGTGACTTCCTACGGCAAATCGTATTTCAAATTCAAATTCAGAGCTAGACAATGTTTCGTACTGTCAAAGTTATAAACGTAATCAAGGTTGAACATAGCGTTTAACAACTTTGCAGTGTCCCCGTCCCAAGATACCGAAAATCTTAGCCGTATCTGGTATCCATTTAGTGTCTACTGCTTTCGACAGTCGCGCGGCATGCAGCCGCACGATGTGCAAATTGTTTTAAATTACCGCAGATGAATCGTCTGCGAGTTCGACGCAGCTGCTTATCAGCCAGAAAACAACTATATCTCCTTTGCAGGGCTGGCGTCTATCGTTGTTGGCACTCTTGTCGAGCTTCCTATTTCATTGCATGATTTGGTCCAAGCGGCTTGAATTCTGTACTCAACGTAACGCCCACCAAGGTCATATAGGAAGTAAGGCTTACGTATAAGATCTCGGTGAAAGACTTCCTACATCGAAGGTGACTGTTACCGCCGCTGTAAGAAAATCGGAGATCATTTTGGTGATAAGCTTGTCTAACTCGTGCTCTAACCTCGACAGCTCCCGCCTCCATGAAGAAATAGTCAAGAGCTCGAATCGAACCCAATACGCCTTCGAATATCTTGGACATGTGCCATTTCATACATTCCCACGTTGGAATCGTAGCAATACTACATGAGCCCATCCTCGCACGCGGTATCAAGCTTGGAGACCGTAAGCGCGACGCGCTACTTAACCTTATTGGGCATGTGTGACCTCAACTTTTCTCATTCAAAATAAAAATTGTTTATCTCTATCTTCAGAAAGCTGGATGCGCAACATTAGCGGTGTCCTCGTGAACCCATATATGCTCTCATGGACGCCCGGTTGGAGATTCTCTTGAGGTGCCTTACTGCGCATTCTTAACGTTTATAGTGTCTCCAGGCGAGCAAATACCGCGACTGAGTTACCCTTGAGCTGCCCGCCTCGACCCCTTTGGTTCAATAGCCGTAATTTTTCCAGGCATGTCTTGTGATTCGTGGGACAACAAATCGAGCATTTTAGTGCTTATTCCCCACAAGAAATACAGTACTTTCAGGAATTACAACGGTTTTACCGTGCATCTTGCATAGACTATTCTCCGACTCAAAGCGTCCGCACTAACAAATGCATAGGGGGAGGGGTTGTACGCTGAGGAATGTGTTGTACGCTTCACCTAGAAGCGGAACCAACGCCAAGTATTCTTTTGCTTTGAGGAAGCTTAGTTAATGTGGGTGACCATCGTTAATTAGTACGAGTGTAGCGGATCACAATCCGCTTACCCCAAGAGTAGCTGCAGCCGTAACCAAAGGCTACTTACTCTTCCATCCAAAATGTTTCGGTTTCATTTACGGCAAAGCCGCCTATATCTAAATCTATAGGTCTGATTATGTATATAGTAAAGCTTAATTAAATGTAAAGTTACTGACTGTTCCAGCCACTTACTGACTTCTTGTTAAAGTTTATTATATGCACTTTACTGTATTTAAAAATATACATTTCTTTAAATATACTTCGGATGTGTCACAAAAAAAGCAATGTGGATATTGTACAATCAAGCAATACTGCATTTGTGCGATTGTGCGGTGCCGCTCGTACAGTAATATTTCCGTTACAATGAGGCTGTCACCGTCGTACTCTCAACGAAACCAGATTTTATTTGGGGAATACTGTCAGCATTATTCATTGCAACTGGTGGCTTAGGGTAAGCTGCTGGCATCCTGAGAAACGTCGCGTGATCTAAAACTACAGTATTGCCAATTGACTCGTCAATAGGTTAGTGTAAATTAAATCAATGACGAAAAGCGTCTGGCGTTCACACCCAATGCAGAGTCTTAGGAATCACCACCACCGCCCACCCGAAGGTAAGTTCTTCATCTATCTAGGATATCCACCTTTCTGTAAGTATTTATTTTCTGGATACTTAATTTGTCACCAAGTTGGTTGCAGAGCAAAAGACTTTGTGCTCAATGCTCGGTAAAGACTTGACGCTGCAAAATTAGTCGTGCATATGATCGAGGTCGTCAGCATTGCGACATACCAGCTGGAGTGCTAGGTACGCCGACCTCAGTCGTAAGCTGGAAAGCCGATTGAGGGCCGCCGTGACTCTGCCATCGTAAAATCTAGCGCCTGGGCAGTAACAATAATTGTTTGCATCAAACTGCTTTTGACATTAAGGTCTTTTTATCCAGAAGATTAGGGCCGACAGAACCCCGAATCGCGTTTTCAGCTAGACTATGCTATTCGTAGAAGTTCAAGACTATTTGAAATTGACTTATCAGATCCGCTCAGTTACTTCTTATATGTTTAAGTCCGGTTGGCATGAAAAAATACTAATTTGATATTACGACAACAGATAGGAAACAGCAAAGCAGATACGATGGCGCTGCGATTGGCCATCCGACTCGTTAATTGACAATACAGGAAAGTGCTTGATCTAAAATCAAGCGTTAGCTAAGACTGCGGGACCTGTAAGGTACAAATAGGTTTGGCCTCAATGTCAGCCACGAAAACTCGCAAGTTTTCCTAGCAAGACGATGATTGGTACTATCTTTTTGGACGGACCGTCTTCAGGCTAGGTGCTGATGAGTGGCACAATCTTTTTCGGTGGACCGCCCATGGGCTAGGTGTTTGTAATGAAAATCGACTAAAGCCATTGTTTGAGCAACACTCAGGAAGCTTTGCGAGCTAATCACAAGCCCTTCATTGTAGCTGTTCGTCCTCATTTGCACCTGATTGCTTAAAAAAACGCATAGGTTAGAGTAAGTCAGTCCGCCCATGACAATCACAAACAGCTAAGTAAGGGAGCTTCATGCCTTTTTCTGTCCGGAAGTTGACCTTTGGAAACTACTGCATAGTGGACATGACACGAGTACATTTTTACAATAAAAATTTAGCCCACTTAAAAAAAATATAGCGACCTCAAAACCAGTTAAGGTTTTTTATTTCATTTTTTTATAAAAAATATAACAGTATACTGCCCTAACAGGAGCATGGTCTCTAATACAGGCATAGTCCTATGAGATATAGGGCACCATAGTTCTCACTGGCTCATGTTATTATTATTATGCGCTGCATAACATTTTATCGGAGCATTTCTTGAGCCAACGTGTGAATTATCAATTGCTTGGCGTTTCAATACGCTCTGTGATGGCAGAATTGATTTAAATCGAGTCTTCTTGAGATATTTTGAGATGTTACTCGAGAGGAAGGTCCTTTGTCATCTCTCGCTAATTCAATTGTTGTCTGAAGCCATCTAATAGTATAGATGGCAATATTTATTCAGTCTGATCATGTGTCAAAAGGTGTACCAAATAACTAATTTTCAAAGCTGACAGATTATTGCAACCATTCGTGGCATCATGGCTCAACTTTTAGGCGATATCGATGTAGCAATGTCTTTCCTATATGGCATAATAACCTCTGCACGATCGCAAAGAGCAACCTGACGCAGCGTCACGGCATATTTGATGGCGGTAGTCATCAGTTTTCTTGACGGCGGTATTTCTTTTTCTCGAAAAATGTGATTTTCAATCTTCATGCAACCGAGACACCGAAGCCGCGACTCTATTTTCATCCACTTATAACAAAATTGCAATCTAAATGCTTCTTGATTCCTTACGAGCCTAGAACTCGCGCTCCTTCATATCACTTTTAGACTCGTTGAAATCTGACTTCACTGAAAAGAAGGACGCGTCTGATGCTGCAAAAAACGATGCGTCTGATCCTGCTGTACTGCTAAACACATTGGCGGATTGTTGGCCCCAGTCAGAATAGCCATCAGTACTGTACGTGTCATCATCATCTTGGGGTGCCTCTATGACGGGGATGCGAGCCATACTGCTCGGCACTGCATGGTAGTAACCATCTTCGCTTAGGCCTGAGGCATTCGACCATGCCATTGAGCTAACCTCACTAACAAATGAGTCCTCGTAATTACTTGTTGCCTTATACTTTTTCTCATAGGCACTCTCCTCGAATCGACTATCGCCATAATCACTTTCTTCGTATTTGCTATCGTCGAAAGTGCTATCGGTCAACCCCATCGTTTCGGCATATTTGTTGCCATCGCGGCTTTTACCGGATTGATAATACGAAGGTGGATTTTTTTGATACTGCGGTCGTCGATTCTGTTGAAGAGGGGTGGGTCGATTGCGTCCGGCTGCAACAACAGTCGCCGCTGAAGATGCGATGGACGGAGCAAGCGATCTGGCTGTCTTTGGGGACAAAATATCATAATCTGTGGGTGAAGAGTCGTCAGGAATGTGGTAATTCGGGTGGTTTTCTACCGGATGAGAGGATGGTGGTATTCTAGCACTCTTTGTAACTGGATTTGCCATCGGCACCGCTTTTATCGGTCTATGAGGTCTATGCGGAGGAGGGGCCTCAAAAGCTGCTAATTGTGCAAATTGCGCAGCTCTTTCAAATGTATTGGGACCAGCGTATACTGTGCCACCCGAAGAGTCCACTCCTTTATTTGAAGCAGGCCGGGATCGTCCCGAGGTTGGCTCCCTCTGCGCACCTCGAAACATGTCTGTAGCAAGCTGATCGTCAAGCCTAGGGTTATGCCTGCCTCGACCTGAAATCGGTTCGCGGCGTGGGCCAAGTGGAGGAAATGAAGCATCTGTGTCTGGATTTCGTCCGCCACGACCAGAACTTGGCTCGCGTCGTTGGCCAAGCGGTGGAAAGGGTACGTTAGCATCTAAATTACGCCGACCAGACTGCGGCTCGTTAGGGACATCTCGGATTCCACCTGGAGCAAATTGAGCGTCAATGTCTTGATTTTTCCGGCCGCGGCTAGATACAGTTTCGTGTGCTCGTGGTGTGTTTCGCCCACCACGCCCTCCGTGACTGCCAGATGTATTCGACTGCGCCCCGCGTGTCCGTGGATCGAATGCTGGGAACGACGGCGTGGCTGATGATCTACCCGTCATATAAGTCGGCGAGGTCGCGTCAAAGCTAGTGTTTTGATTACTACGATCTCGTCTTGAGGCAAGCTTTCTGTCTGTTGATGAGCGACGCGTGCAGTAGGAACGTACAAACCATGAGATCAGTGACACAATTAGAACAGCGACGACGATGATAACTACCATTACGGTCGTGCTCATCGACGCTGCGGACGTAGCGGTGTTCGATATAGCCATGTCACCACTAGCACTACTTTCACTGATATCTGCACCAGGTGTCGGATTACTTTCTATCGTCGCTTTGGTAGTTGTACCACTTGTCGCTTCATTTTGTGATTCTGGTTGAGGGGTATCAGAAGACTGTGAGCTGACTGCACACGTGAGGTAATCGTCTCCACTTGTGGCACAATCTTGCCCTTTGTTCAGCACTACACAAACTCCAAAATATTTTGTCTTGCCATTCACTTCGGCAAATGCAGCACTTCGACAGCTGCACGCGTTTTTCATGCATGTGTTGCCCATTTCCGAGCACAGGACATACCCAACTGGCTCCTGTTTATTGCCTGGATCATGGAGATAAAGCTCCTGCACGTCGATGCCACATATATCCGGCGTGGATGCGGACATCGTGGCCTTAAAGTGAAAGCGTCAGTTTGCAAAATCGAAGTGGCAATGAGAACAAGCGTCGCAAGTGTAAAGACGAAGTTCAGACGTAAAGTTTGCAACATAATCGTAGCAAGACACTGGAGTATCGTTGAGTAGAGCAGAACGGGGCCAAAACAGATCCGATGATAAACCTAGATGGCGTACACGCGGAAGTATTGGGAGATTAGACGTAAAAAAGGTGCTGAACATGTACGCCTTAAATGACGGGCACGTTTTCTACTCGTATCTATTAGCAGCTTTTCGATGTGTTCGTTTAATAAATATCATGCATATAAACTTATTCAGTTCACCGCGGAAACTCTACTGGTACGTCACACATGCAGGACACTTTGCTGTGCTATCTTGCATCGGTGTCTTATTTGGTCTAAAAGAACATGTAGAAACAGTACATGCGGGACGTCAGCGATTCAGAATAACACAAAACAATAGATTTGCATATAAAAACTTATAGGGAGGTTTATCCCAGTGAAGCGTCACTAAAGGGGGGCCCAGCATTATTTTTACGGAGATACGAGCTTTTACCTTGCGACGACACTTCACTTAACTGTCTAAAGTAAATCAAGTCAATTAAGTGTACGTGTTATCAAAGATTTATTTTACGTCACATGAACCGCGAGAGCTTTGTACACTATCACAGCCGCCTCAGAAAGTGTGATCTATGGCAACCAGCTACACTTCACATCACTTGTACATAATTTTCACCGTACTGCGAAAAGTAGACTATCTGAGTCACTTACATTATTACCGGAACACAGAGAGTTATGCAAAATGTGTACGAGGATGGCTACTGCTCGAAATAAAGGATTTGGCAGCTGCTACTATGAGTGCAATGGTTTACCGTGATATATCGAGCAGAGAAAGCGTTCGACTCGTAAGAACTTTTCAGTAAATTTACAGAATTGTTACAGAGGCTTCTCTGGGACGCGGACTTGACACCATTCTGGATATTGCACTGGGCTAGCGGTCTCCGTGTCTTATGGACCTTTCATCTTCGAAGTACCACCATTAGCCCATTGTTCATAAATTGCACATTACATACATTGGTTCGCTCCGAGCCCTAAACAAAGAACAATTTTTTGGTCTAAAAACACCATTACGGAATGGATAGAGACGAGGTGTGATCGCGGCATCTTTCGTGTGTCTGCGCAGACTTTGGCTATTTAGGCCCATTGGTCATGGTTAAGCAAGTATGACTTGACTATACCCTGTCTGCAGCGGGGCTGCCGTAGCTTTGCTCGTTGAGGAAGCGTAAATTAGGTCACTGACCTCTCGTTCTATACTCAGAACAAGTACGAGTTGAGCGGATTGCAATTACTCCAAGTGCAGTGGGGCTGCCGTAGCTTTGCTCTTTGAGGAAGCGTAACTTAAGTCACCGACCTCTCGTTCCATACTCAAAACAAGTACGAGCTGAGCGGATCGCAAATACTCCAAGTGCAGCGGGGCTGCCGTAGCTTTGCGCTTAGAGGAAGCGTGATTTAGGTCAATGACCTTACGTTCTTCACAAGAACCAGTACGAGCGTAGCGTGTTTCTTCTTGTCCTACTTGATTATTACAGCCTGTTGTAATGTGTTGAATTGTGTCCCTTGTGTAAAAAAAGCTTCTTGCGTTTTCTGCTGACTTGAAATTCGTCGGGTCACGTACGCCTTCATCACCAATGCTTAACAAGTCAAGGTCGATACCATATCATCTCTGTCAAGTTTGCTAGCACTTGTAGTGTTTAAACCAAAATTCGATTCATCTAAGAGTACATCACGGCTTTTCACGACTCGTCCCACCTCAAAATCAAACACTCGATAGGCCTTAGATAACTCCTCGTATCCTAGAGCGATCTGGCAAAAGACTTTTGATCCCACTTTAGCCACTCCTCTTTTTGTTTCAGGCCAAACATCCTGCAGCCAGTTTGATGCGCATACTAAATCATTATTTGTTGCTCGATACCTTGGTTACTGTACAGTGTCTTTAGTGTATAAGCTGCGAATTTTCGAGCCTCGTCGTGTCGTATAAATTTGACTTGTTTACTGACCTGCGTTTTAACCTTTAGAATGTAGCACCCACTTGTATCGTCGCAATGAGGAGCAAGTATCTGCTACTACCCAAAGAAGTTTGCTCTATGGGACCATAAATGTCAAAAAGGAGAAACTCAAACGTGTCGTAGAGGCGTTTGTCATTGTTGGAAATCATTTTTGCGTAAAGCATCATCCAAGGCATGCCTCATTCTTGCATGTAGACTGATGCTGCGTGTTGGCGCTACGCTCTTCGTGCTGATGATCTCTAAAATTTGTACAACGTTTTTGTCGCTCTTGAGTAGGATGAGTAGTAGGTAGATTGCAGCATCCTCGTCCTCCATCGTGGCGCCGATGCAGCTAAGCTTCGCTCTGATGTTGAGGACCTCGTCACAGTGATGCATAGCGTTCCCTCCTTTGGCCTAATCATGCTGGCGCTTCAGGTAGAGTTGGCCAGTCTTCTGCGACCCGCCGTAGTGTGTTTTGATACGCGACCATGCAACCGAGGCTTCTTCACAGTCGTCAACTACATGGTGATAATTTGCATAAATGTGCAGAAGCATCAATCCAAACACGATGTTACTCGCTCTTAAGTATATATACGATACACGAGCATCTTCAAACGTTGGGGAGAAATCACATTTGACGACATGCCATACTGTCTTGGTAAGACGCCACGCATGTAACGTCTCCAGGTGGCGTAGTTTTTGCCGTTTAACTTACGGATCCACCTTGGCTGGTTCGTCATGTGCAGAGGTCATGATTGTGCGTCGTCTCATAGCCTTTTAAAAGTGTAAAGCAAAGAAAGCTGAAGGGAAAGATCTGACCAAAGAGGCTTGAGTGGTAGAAGAAGAAACTTCAAAGTGAACATATTTCCGGTATTTAGCTCACAAACTAATTGCTACCTCTAAGCCAATTAGTGAGCAACACATTAAGTACACATAAGATTCCGTATGAGTATTGTAACAGTATCATACCAGTGTCGTATCGTACTTACGTGTGTTCGAATTGGATAGACGAGTTAGACAAACACACACCACAGCGTACTTGTGAACCTCAATAATATTATGTCAATCAGGAATATATACAGTGAAGCTGTGACAGCTTATTTGGCGGCGAAATGTAGTGTGGCTAAGCACAGCAGCCCCCGTTGCTATGACTGGGTATGCCGTGACACATGGTGCGTGCTCGCTAGGATTTTGAGTGTTGAGCTCAAAGTCATACTATACACATTCGGAAAGAAATATATGTGGTATTTATTGACATGCCTTGAAGATTGGAAGGTCGAGTAGCCACGAGCTGGTCGGTGCGATTGAAATTATGCTGTAACGGGGTTGCCCGCTCTTGAAAAGCACAAAATCGGGCTGGATTTATTAGCACGGCATAACTATAAACGCCAATTTTTGCATGTCTTGACAAATTTTCAATATTTTAGGGTCGCCAGCTATTAAACATTTCGATTGATAAAACGATGGGAAGCCGATACATTGACCGGCCGGAGTTGTGGCGAGGGATACAAACAACTCGCTCTCGACCCTCGACATCGTTTTGCATCAACGCGCAAGCGATGCCATAATCACTTGCATAACATACCACATAAAGTCTTATCGTGGTTTGCAATCACAGTAACAGAAGCTTCTATCTAATTAATTGCGCAGGTACAGGCATAAAACGGCTTCAATATTTTGTATTTTGGTCTGGCGGCTCAAGGGTAATAAGCTGTTATTGCCCACGAGGAAGCAATTATTAACTATCAGACTGCGCGGGTGAGATCACGCTGATTGCCACTTGGCACATCATATTATTCCCGCAACTAAGCATAGTTCATGATGCACTCTCCAATCCGGGAAATTACGCGTATCAGGCATTTTGTCATCGCGTAGTAAAATTTCATTTACATACTATAAACGGGTCCATGAGATCAGTAAAAGCAGCTCTCTTACTACTCGCACTCAATGATTCATGATTGTGCTCTATGGCAAGCTCATCCATAAAAGTGGGCGGTCTTAGCTTGTCCTGTACCAGTCGCTCCACTTTGGTAAATTTAACGTCTTGCGTTTCTTGTAAAATATTTGGTCATGGTCTCTTCAATTCGATGAAGCTTTTGCAAGAGGTTTTGATGAGACAATTTCAGCCCCTATGCATCACCTCGGTAGCTCCGCTAACGTGTAAGAAATCGATTCCTTTGCTAATCCGTGAGAACACGCTGCGACGCACGGCGGGCACGTCGAAGGATTGTCTTGAATTATCCATCTTGTTCCATCGTGATAAGACTTTATCTTCCTTGATTCCATTTGGTAACTAACTCTCATACTTGCGCGTTTTGGTCGTTCTTTCGCTCCACCAACTCTGATACGGGGAATTCGCGACATCCATTACCTCGGCTTTCTACGGCTCCAACTAGCTCTAGCTCACAACAGTCATTGACTGTCTCAAAGAACCCTTTCTGCGGGCAACAAGATTCATATGATCATTTCTTTCACGTCAGACTCCCATTGCCGTGTCCCATGACCTTTCTTTTTTGGGCTACCATCGTCCTCATCAGTACCAGTATTTTGGTGATTTCACTATATTATTGTGTACGCAAACCATATCACAGCAAGTAGCAGTTTAACATATAGGTGGGTCCAAATCATGTGAATGCCAGCTTCACACAAAGAATACTTCTTTAGATATCGAAAGGTAAAACTATCAGCTCATGCTAGCTAAAATCATTTTGTTTGATGGCATTATTAGTGTGATGAGTTCTTGGTATGTAATATCGCTTCGATTTTATGCACGGCTTGTTTTCTATTCTCTAAGTTTTTGGTAACATAGATCATGCTATTTGTAGTTTTAATCTGTCCAAATTTGTTGGGGTGCGGCGCAAGGCTGTGACAGTTTTGTGGGGGGCGTTGGGTTGTCTGAAGTAGATGCTGGATCTTGAACAACTCCGGAAGGCACCGGCGTCCTTGGGTAGCGGTCTACAAAGATATATCGTGCTCAGATTTCATATATAGAAAGCGGCTGTACGTAGCGCTTTTCAGATTTTGCATCTACTGAGCTAGGAGTATCGACGGTGCGTCATAACCTTCAGTGATGACCTTGGTTCTCGGCAACACAGATTTGCACTGAGCTATAAGGACTTACATCTGTCGTCTTGGCTGACCCGCAAGTAAGCGACCGTGAATCGCCACATCAAGTAATAAAATTTTTGTTGAGATTGTCAGAGTCAGTATATAAGCTGTGGTTCGTAATGCTGTATCTCTTGAGAGCAGAGGGAATAATCGCTTGACACAGTTCGTAATTCATATTAATAGTAAAATACGCTATCGTACTGTGATCAAGTCCCGATCTAACTCAAAAATATCACCTGAAAACGGTACACCTAAGCTAGTGACGTGCTGAATGTGCTGTAGAATTTGAAAACATTCGTCGGTGAAAAGACTGCGGTCGCTCAAGGGAGACTGGTTGCTCAAACATACCCCGTGAAGACAAAATTGTGTTAATGATTGTCTTTAGAATGCGTGCAATAAATGGCAAAGCGGCGAAATCACCTAGCAGATGCCTAACATATTTCAGGTCAAGCTGACCTTATTGTTCATGGTGAGTGAGCTCGTACCCAAAAGTACTGAGTGCATAAGAAGATTTTGATGAGGATTCACGGACTTTTTTCATCATTGTTGAATTACTATGAGGGCTTAGGAATTAGAGCTTCCACGTGAGATTGACATGTTTTGTGAGATCGCCTTTTATCGATGGGATAGTACGATGCCATCAACACTCTCCTTCTAAGAAGCTTCAACCGGATGGAGTAGCGAAAATATATTTTTCTCCGTGGTGCCAGTTGGCGGTCACATTGACAACGGTAGGTGACGGATCGTGTAATCTTCTAAAAGTTCGTTAGATCTCCTCTAAATGTTCGTCCTTATCCTGATAAGATTAGGGTCATGATGCGGTTATAAATACTTATTTCTACGTATACAACGATGTTCAAGGTATTCATTTTTTAACGTGCCTAACATCTATCACATCGGGCGCTCTGATGAATACTTGACCTCACGCAGCTCATATCACCTTTGGTTAGCAGATTTTTTGTTCTGCATACAATGCGGCATTACGCATTTGTTGAAAGTGGGGAATCGAGACGGAATATTTAAATGCGAGGCGCATCGTTATTCAGACTCTACATGAATGAATGAACTGCTATTGATTTCGGACTGTCATCGCAGTTTTTATAGTTCTCAACTCTTAAAAGCAGTCCAAAAAAAAAACGGATGGTACAAAAATAAATACGCGGTAATCCTTACAAGATGGTGATAATTCTTGCGATAGCTGTCATTCCCCTTTTCGAAATGAGTCATTTTATTTTTTTGAGATACCACACGATGGTTCCCATCATAACGCACTATCTCTTAGCTTGAAAATTGCTAACACGACGCACTGTTGCTATGTCTGAAGCGAGTTTGTGTTCAAGACCATCTCAGTCTCTCGAGCCCTGATGAAGAGACGCCCATTCCCCCCAAAAAATCAATTATACCACCAGCAGTCTCGCTTACTTTCTCGCCAGCGTCTGACTATGATAATTCTAGATACTTATCTCCGCACAACTGTTTAGGTGAACACCTCCAGGCGAGTAATAACTCCTTTTCGGCCCAAGTGACGCCTCTTGCGCCAGTCACCAAATTCCAAAAAGAAGACTATACATACTTAAGCCTACTTGTTTCTCTAAGACGAGAAAAACAAAGGTGGTATGTTTAGTTCTCATATGATAAGTACAATGAGTCGCCATCCATATCTAACATGAGAAGTTTGGTAGCAATAAATTCACGTTAGCTAACGCACAGATGGTGAAATTGCATCGCTCTGTCCATGAGCGAACCAAGATCCCTCTCGATAGCTATGCACTTAGTGGCTCTCGCAGTACAAGACTCATGTTAAATATAAAGTTGGTCTGGAAAATTTAGTGGTGAACAGTCATCTGTTACTGACTTCAATCATAAGAAGGTATGTACTACGTAGCGTGAAATTGGCAACCCACATGTCCAACAAAATTTTCCTGTACGCAATGCCACCACCGTAACCAGTATCCGTATTATGGTACTTCTTAGCTTTGTTCTTGGTCTGAGGAACAACTGTGTATTGTGTACACACACCGAAATACAGTATGGATCCCGATACAATTAGACTCAGTCACCGGATGGACGAATGCTAATAGTTCTTTTAATCAACAAGAAATGACTTGTAGAGCTTGATTGAGAAGATTCAGTGTAGCGAGGTAGTCTTGAAGACTGCAGACACTGTATGTGTAGGTAATAGCAGAGCGCAATTTTGCGTGCGAATTCAACATTTTCAGCCGCAGAGTCGAGATAACCAGCTCACGATATAAGGGTAATTAGCATAAACTTATCTTTCGTCAAGCTTAAAGTGCATCTGCTTATTTTGACGCTATTTTGCGTCGTTACCTGTGATACTTTGTCGCTCATCGCTTTAGAAGTACGCAAGATAAATACCTTCTCCGCCATATCTCAATAACAAGCCTGGTTGGCTAAGTGAGGTGGCCCACGCACTATTTTTGGTTGTGAGGTTGTTGTCTTTTGTCATGCCAAAAAAAGGTTTTTACGATTGTTAAGCTTGATGAGATAACGAACAAGCTTTTATGCTGCCCAACCAAATTATGAGCTAAAACGGTGACATCACGCATTAGCAATTCATATGATAAGTTGAGCTCTGTTAATGAGTCTCTACTGAAAGCTTCAGAAAGCATATACTCAATATTGCAGTTGTGAAACAATTGTAAGCGCCTTAACACCGCCACGCTGTGCATCAAATTACTCGTATCACGGCAAATGATTCTCATGTCATCTCAGTCTGAGATGGAGGTTCGAATCAGTAAGCGGTATACGCTGGTGGCCTAATATGTAATTTTTGATGCTCGCTCGTGCAAAAGAAGTCATAAATATAACTCGATACATGCTTCAGTCATTTGCTGATTTTGGCGGGGAGCTCTAGATCCATTCTCATTTTTGAATTTGGTAAGCCGCTTCGAGTCAAATCAATATTGTTTATGATATATAAATCTATATAATTTGGTCGGCTCAATCTGCTGCTACCACCACCATTAAGACTTATAGCTTGCCTTTATCAACTGTCTTCTCAGCGCTATCTGGCAAAATTTTGGCAAGATTCGCTAGATATCCACCTTGCTGTTGTTAATTATTTTCTAGGCTTACGCTCAGAAGTACGAATTGAATGTGTGATAAAGAATATTCTCCAATGCACATGCGTGGAGCGACTACTGACTTTGCGCTTTTCTGTAAAGAGTACAACAGATAACCGCATACCCTCAAACGTACTTAAGATTTATGTATGGTCACAGTTTCCGACATATATCGACTCGATGGTCTAATCCCGCCTACATCTCTCAGCGGAATCGGTCAGATTATTTCAAAGAGATTTAAGCTCATGCGTCAGGTGTGCGGTGCTATTACCGAAAGCCGAGACTTGCAAAAGCAACATGTATATGACGAATCCAAAAAATCAGATATGAGATTTATCGCAAAATTTGCAATTTCATCTTTTGCGCATGTAATGTTCACAGTCGTTTGGATAGATTGCTCCCTTATTATTTGTGGCGATAGCACAAAAACAATCAAGTTACACTTATGACCTCCCAGGCAGATGCAAACACATCATTTATAATGACACAATAAAGGTATACCGAAGTCCCTATTCTGCGCTTTACCCGAACGCGGATTTATTGTTGGTGGAGAAGTAGTCTTCAACAGATTTTTATAGGTCATACAACCAGCTGAAATCGCTTGGAATGCATCTGACCCGATTAGCCCATCAAATCAATTATCGACATAAAATATGATAGAATGGGGCTTCGCTTTTTTCAAGCTTGACATTTGGTCGCTAACTGTGTCATCGGGGTGCGAACATTCACATGGCTGACTGCCGCATGTGCTGGTGAGCGTACAAGCACCCCTTTTGACGCCAACGCCGCACTATGAGCTTTGCATGCCAAGCACACATCGACGCTCCAATTGACCTATAGACATTTGAGACATAATTTGTATAGTCGAAAAACTATAAATATGATAAGTTTTGACACCGAAACGATCGAACGAAATATAAAGCCTTCAGTAGTTCTGTTCGGCCGCAGTATCGGGAGTACAAAGTACCGACTGGTCCACCCAGAAAAGTACTTTTGAGATAGAGGGTGCTTAAAAATTGAAACTTTTTTGCGCGTTTACCTCTCAAGATTAACTACAGGTCCACGCATAGGTGCGGATCGGCGCCTCAAAGGGGTCGGGTACATCATATCCACCGTCACGAGAAGGGCTTTTCTTTAAAGCCTTTTGAAGTTCGCTATGACGTATGCACCTGTTGACAAGCTTGGAAAACTCGATAAGCATGGATTGATTCCTTGTGATAGGATTGCCCCCGTCGTTGGCCCTGAAGCGGAGACTCTAGCCGATTTGACATTCAAGGCACTGTGCTGATGTACGTAGCGCACACAAAAGTGCAGAAGCTGGTTACGTTTAAGCCTCGAGAAATCTTTTGTCGATACTAAGAATGGCGCTTCCGTGACCTTTGGTGGGGACGAATGCGATCAGTAGGAACTCGTAGGGATACGGAAACTACGTTCGTCTGAGGACACCTCGCACTTTTCAATTGAAAAAGTTTCCATTACATTGACTACAGGCGTCGTATCCTTCTTAGCGTTTCCTTCAGCCGACTAAACCCGATCGTGTCCTTCTGAATTCTTTTGCAAAAATTCACAACCGGTTGCAAAAGGAAAAGCGTCACACAAACACCACGCTATACTGCTTCATATCATCTGGTTTAGCAAGTAATGTTGTTTCCATCAAGCTGTTCTTGATTTGAGTAAATGTCTCTTCACAAGTAGATAACAACTCTCGCGGTTGTACCATTTCTGCGTAGTCACGCGAGAAGCGATGCGAACCAATCCATTTCCAAGAATCGTTTTGATTTCGTAGCGTTGGCCTCTCCACGACTGCTTTGACCTCTTAAAAGCATGTACGAACACCAAGTTAACCAACATTCCAACCGAGGACCGGTACTTGTTAGCACCACTACCGCACGGAGGTACTTCAAGTGCATTCTTTGAGCAGATCTGTCATTTTCATCCTTCGAAGGAGCAAAATGTTTGTGCGATGCATCGCAGTGGTCTAAACAGATGTGAGATCAATCGATTGGACGTTGCAGGGGTATTGAATAATCAATGTGGCTCACAAGTCTCTCCCATAACATACCGAACAATGTACTGACAGTCGTCAAAGGGACGTTATCCTGTGTGAACAAAATTTTGTAATGTTAAACTTAACTGTGTAGAAGAGCTCTTTACTACCTAGTAGACCGCCCTGCATCTACTGGTTCGCAGCGTTTACTGAACGCCTAGTGTTATCGGTACCACGTGACTCAGGACCATTACGACGAGAACTGTATTGAGAGGCTCGTTTCTCACGAGGACAACCACGGCGAATGTGACCGAGTTAATGACAACCGTAACAACGAGCTGATTGGATACAGACGGCTACCGTGATAAGCTTCATTGGTTTCGGAATTGCGGGGCGGATTTGTCGCAAATAGACCACCAAAAATATAGTTTTAATTTTGAACGGAAGTTTATTTGCCTTGTGGCTGTAAAAATCTCTGTTTATGAATTTCAAGATTAGGAATTAGGTTATAAGCCTCTATTGAAAATGTATCTTCTGGGCTGAGGTCCATCGTCACGAGGTACGGTAATACTCTTGGAAAAGTCCAGTAATTAGACCTCGTTTGCGACTTAGACGCGTAAAAAATGCGATCATTTCTATTCCATACTCACAGAAATTATAGTCTCTCAAGAGTCAGTCTTCGATTGACGCCATGACTTTTTTTAAGTACAACGGTTCCCGATCCACATTTCACAAGGAGCTCTTTTTACCTGTACGTTGATAAGCGCTCGGATGACTAGTTTGGTCAAATGAAGGATGCGAAAAGACCTTTTTACGTATAATTACTTCCCACTGCTGAAATTATTAACTGGAACGAACATTTGTGAGGAGCCAAAGTATGTGATTGTATACACTTTTGTTATCTGAAAACATACAGCCCTGCCCAACGCATCCTCTTTCTCTAAGGAGAAACGCATCTTATCTCTGCGATAAGCCACGTTCTTGAGAGGTGTATCAAACAACGAACGGTGTACCCTAAAGGCACAGACTTTTGGGATAACCCATTGATTTGTTACTCAGAATTATGCTGGATTCTAATTTGTCAAAAATGACAGTAAGTGGGCGATAGGAAACTATCGCTAATGTGTCTTTCGCTGTAAACTTGGTCACGCAGTACTCGTATCATTTGCAATATGGCGTCCTATTCCAAGGGTTACGTGTTTCCACTGGCGCTTAAGGACACATGGAAAGAGGAGCTCTCACACAAGACGCGCGAAAAGCTGACAGAGATGCTGGGCGTCGAGGTAGATAATGTCATGGCGGTACGTGCTCTATTAATCTAGTGAATAGTTAGCGGGGATGGGTGGCGCTCCTTTGCGCCTTCTTTTGCTACACTAGAAAGTTTACATTTCTGGGTCGAGTCTTTAATGGATAGCGACCAGAGTGACTCATGGCTCGGCTGGCAGGGGCGAGGAAGGAGTCGTGTCCGTTATTCTATATACATATTAAAAGACGCCAAAAGAGGGTGGAAAACAACCCCCCATTAGAGAGCGCCACCCCAGACAGAAGAGATCAGAGGCATGACGTCCATATTGTGTATTGTATACTATTTTGTTGGAGACGGCTTTAGGAATACGTGATTGTGATGGTAAACAACAAGAAGAATATGGAGCAAATTGCGCACGACCTCGTCGACTTCATTGGTGACGAGTCAGCCGAGCAATTTGCGGCCTGGCTCAGCCAACTACTGCCCACATTTGAATCTCAAGTTCTCCAGTCCAGCGATGACGCTATGGAGATGAAGATCTCGCAATCTCCTGCAGAAGACGCACCTTTGCAAAAGAAACCGACGACTGAAGAAAATACTCCGCCTAAGCGCATAATTAATTTGAAGGGAATCTCGTCATCTGAACCACCTAAAAAGAAGACGGTCTCGCTTAGCAACAATAAAGGCACAATTCGCTCGCTGAATTCTTTAAAGACTGACGCGGACGATGTTATCGCTCGACGGGCGCAACGATTTGGTATCGTGGAAAAGACTTCTGTTTCGAAGAGTACTTCTTTTTCAAACTCTGAAAGAAATGATCGCTATCAACGTGAAGAAGGTAGAGCGACGAGTAACAAGCGGCGAGGAAGTGAGCGTGCTGATAACAAAGATGGCGGACGTCGCCTTTCACAGCGACTAGGTCCCCCAGTAAATGTTCACCAGGCTAAACTTGACGCTCGTGATACTTTGGGGTCACATAAGAAGCAACGCAAGGATCGGGACCGTAGTGAGGAAAAGCAGCACAGTGATGGACATCACAATCGGAGAAATGATCAAGATCATGACATGAACAGTGCAAGACGCAAGGAAAAATCAAGGAATGATGACGCGGCACCACCCCTGCCACCGCCAGGTGATATGAATGGCAAACAAGGCTACGGGCCAATGGGTCCAGCCATGGGGTTTCAGGGCGGTCCGATGGGTTTTGGTGGTTACCCTGCGGTACGTATCTCTACCACGTTGATACTTGCTTACCTCGTCCGATGAGACTCTTACCATTTTTATAATGATTAGCCATTTGGTGGTCCCATGTTTTACCCTCCACCAGGATTCAACCCGTATGTCATGGGCTTTCCTCCTCAAGGGATCCCACCGTTCAGTGGTCGCGGCTACCCTCAACCTATGCAGAATGGACCGCGTGGTGCCCGACCTTTTCAGAACCGCAAGTGGGTTAACCCAAATGTTGCTAAGGCTGAAGAAGCAAAAGATAAGGGAGACCAGCCAGAATCGGACGAACCAGGAGAGTTAGCCCAATTCAACGCCAATACAAATACTGGTGCGCCAGCCTACACGCCACGTAATCCATACTTTTCATCGCAGATGCGTCCACGCTTTCAAAACAAGACTTGGGTGCGACAGGATTCTACCAAGGATGAGGAGCTGAACTCAAGTTTGCCCAAAACGCCACCTCAAGAGTTGCTGGAGAGCACCGACTAGATTCTTTATTACAATGACTCGATTGATTGAAAGATTATTAAGAGACACTTTGATAAAGCAATGAGTGTATATCAATAGGACTTGAATGGTTTCAACGAGGGAAACGATAGAGCCCTATACTCACAAACAATTCGCAAAGCGATCAGTGATGTGCATAGCTAAGTTTGGTCACTTTGTTCTTTGTCTTTAAATGTTACAAATACTGCTGCTAACGACGAGAGCGACCCCATCTTTTGCGAGCAATCGATGAGGAATTTTCACGTTTCATTTCTTGAGACTGAGATTGCGAGGCAGCCACCATTGACAAAGGCAATTTGCGCCGCGCAGAGCCTACCAAGCGGGCGTGAGTTCCAAGCGATTCAGACTGGGATTGTGAGGGGCCGAGGCCGCGGGCGTCAGCAAGTTGTGTAAATTGCTTATCTTCCTCTACATCATCGTCATCGTATCTCTCCTGCTGCTTCTTGAACAACTCGTCGATCTTGTGTCGTCGGGGTATTTTGGTCTTTTTTTGCTCATCTTCATGGCTAGAATCTGAGCACAGATCCAACACCACGCTTGCTTGTGAGTCATGTGGAGCGGAACGCTTTGTTCTACTCTGTCTATTGGGCAGATCAATTTCATGATCATCACCTTTCTCGTCAAGATCACTCCTTCTCTTGCGCAACCTCTTTGTACCTTTTTTTACTTTCATTGGTCGTGCTGACCGTGACCTGATTGAAGGTCGCGGTGTCATTTCTTCTTCATCCTCACAAAACTCTTCTGGCTTAAAGTCCTCGTCACCATCATCTTCAGCAGTTGCATCTACAAAATCTTCCTCCTCATCTGATCGTAAAACATCTTCAATTTTTTTTGTATTTCGTGTGGATCGGAATGAAACCTTTTGACATGCTTTTTTTGTTCGTGGACTCGTATCGCTGTCACATTCAAGGTCGGAAAAAACTGAGTTTTGTTTGCCTTTTTTCGTTGAGGTTCCCTCTTTTTCCCGTAAAGATCGCGGTGTGCCAAACCGCCCATGACGATGCTTAATCGAAGCATCATTATCTGGCGCGGTTCGTCTTGATTGAAATCTATTATTCAACGAAGCCGTTTCAGAATCGGCCTTCGTCAACTCGACTTCTTCCTTTTGCAGTAGATGCAACGCATCGGATTCTTCTTTCTTTTTTTCGACAACGCTAAGAATATCCCGTGTCGATTTTGCGTCACTCTTAGAACTCAATTCGCGTTGTGTTGCATCGAGTACGCCATCCACAAATTCTTGGATAGCTGACGAGTTGTTCTTCAGTGTAAACATTTCTAGCGCAATTCCTAGTTGAGCCTCTGGAAGAAGTACGAGTTTTCGCTCAGGTGCACACAATTGCTTGCTTAAGATGTCCTCAATTGTCACTGCCGCTAAAGGAATCGGCTTTAAAGGACGCCCGAGTAAGGATTTCTCTAGTTCCATACCAGTCTTTTTGTCTGAAGCATTTGTACGATCTTTCTTTCGCCTGTGGAATAGTAAAATATCATTGGGGTTAGCCACTTTACCCACGAACTTTGCACCAAAACGTTGATTCACTAGCACAGGAAAGCCGGTATGTTCCACGCGTAATCGAATGAGCACCAGAACCTTCTCGTTTATTTGCCCGATTGAAGCCTCTGGCAACGGATATGGACTTTCTTGCTGCTTTTGTTCATAGTCCATCGCATACTTTCTCTGCCGCTCTTGTTGCTCCACCTCGGCCTCCTGTAATAATTCTATCACTCTCCCCTCTAAGTATTCTCCTATACGTTCTGTAACATCGGGATCGTTCGGCTCCAAGTCCTCAACTTCACTTAAAATCACTTCACCTATCTTAAAAGGTCGTACCGTGTGCAGCTCAAAATTTGTCATGCGAAAGGTTGTGCCATTGATTTCGACGACAGCAACATTTTTAGGCTTGGCTTCTCCTTCTACAAGCGATGTCGCAACCGATGATCCAGGCTGCGTGATAAAAAAATCACCTTTGACACTCTCTTGAACGTCAATCTGGCATTCGTGTTCATGTCCCCAGACCACAAGATCAATAAAATTTGGTATTACACTTTCTGGAACGCAATTTTTACTGCCTCGTCCTTTATCATCTCGGTTCTGGTGCACCACAAAGATACTGAACCACTCCTCAGCATGTTCCGCCGGTCTTCTGAACACCACCTTTCCCTGAGCAAACATCCGATTTAGTCTCTCATCTCTCATATTCCCTAGTCCATATACCGCCACTCTTGTATTCCCTTTCGTAAGGAGAACCGGAAATACTTCAACTGCATCCACTTTCTCGCTTTTACCAAAGTAATTGATCAAATTAGCAGCACTTAAGAGATCCAACGCCGCAAGCGATTGCGTGGCAGTTCCTCCACCTTCTCGACTGGGATCGTCATGATTTCCGTGAATGCTAAAGATAGGCAGTTCCACATTGTAGTTGGGATCCTCGAAATTCACAACGCCAAAGTTAGGAAAGTTGACGCTTTGGTCGCTCACAACTTGAAAATTAACCGCACCATCGCCCATGCAATAAGCTCGTAGCAGACGCATTGTTTCGTACAGCGTATGACGACTTGGCTTATTTTCGTGAAATAGGTCGCCACCTAGAAGAAGCAGGTCCACGCGCTCACGCTGTGCTAGCTGCAAGATTTCGCGAAAAGAACGAAATGAATCATCGCCACGTACAGGATCCTTTTCTGCATAGCCCAGGTGATTGTCTGTGGAGATCAATACGCGAAGGGTGTCAACCTCACGTGGGCCATCACTGTTCGACTGCGACGACATTAATTTTACGAAAATATCAGCTACACAAGTGCAAAAATTATAACGTTGCAAATATGGGCTGATGGTTTCTACATTCAAATTTAAATAAAACTATTTCTCAGAAACATTGTAAAAATGCTAACCATTATAGGTCTTTCGCGATCTTGTTGAATGATATCAGCATCTTAGCGAATCAGTGTCAGCGCAATTTCTTTATCTGTCTTGATTTAATTTCAAGAGCCTGAAACAATTGGGTCTATTTCTTTGTATCAGCAGAAGCAAGCCGCAACCTCATTCGACCGCAGCACATAGCGATCGTTATGCGTCCCGAAAGAAAATATCCGTAAGGGACACGATCAGCAGTAGCCCTTTTAAACCAAAGAAGGACAGGATGAGAGAGCTACTCTTAGCAAAATAACAGCCACCAATCGCGACCAATTCTAGGATCAGCTATTAATGTTTCGCAGAATCGTGTCCGCACCGATAGCGTCTCTGTTTTCTAGCAAAGAGAAATTGATGACTTGTAAAAGCACCAATATGTGTGCGGAACGTGATGCCCCAGTCTTTTTACTTCTAATGCCTCTTACCTCCGAGCCATACCATACCTTAAGTGACATCGCATATCGTGTCCTGACTAACAGCAAGCAGCACCATGCGCTATCAAAGCATCGAGGTTTTTATGTAATTGTTCAAAGGTCCTCTGACACAAAACGAATCTTCATTGCAAAACGATATTTATCCTTAACATGAATTGATATTCTCGCATTCTTTGAGCTATATGGACTGCAATTCGTCCAACATAGTTCAATGACACCCCTGAATCCATCACAGGTCTCGCTATAAGCCTCACATTTTTCAGGGATCGTCGCTCCTTCAAACGCTAAGTCCCAGTGAAGTGGACCCTATGAGCTCAAAGAATGCAGCGCCTCCCAGTAAGCCGACTTGCAGGATTGAAAATTCGGTAGGTCTCCCCCACGGGGTATACCTACCGTGGGAGCTCTACCATGTATACATCTCATTCGGAGCGCACGAAACACAAAGGACGTAAGTTGCAATCATGTTGGACCTGCGGATACCGAGAAACTGTATCTCATTTTTTGTCTGGAGCTCGACTAAGATTTATCGCCTCTCGTCCTTCACCCCCTCATCTTATGTATGCTTGTGGATCTGATGGTGTTCCGCATTCAATGCTACATTTACCGTTTCTCGCAGGACGTAAAGTACACACAAAGGTCTGGTGCAAAGCGCATTGGCCAGGACAGAAACCAAAAGTACATTCACAAATTTTGATTCTCAGAAAAGTGCAGCCAACAACCTGGCTAAAAGACTCATTTATTTTGAACAGTTCAACAATTATACCTCCGTTGACAATTAGTTTGGATCTAGACCACACGGTTAGCCCGATAAGTCGCTGTAAAAATTGCGGCGATTGCCGCATGAGTACTTTCTGTGGTTGGAGCGCCTCGACTATCGGAAACACAATTGACAAGTCGGCTGTTTCCTCTCGCTGATATGATTCATCTTGCTCAGACGGTCCACAGATGATAATAATATTATCAGACTAACTTTTTGGTACACCATATATATATTGTCTATGCAAACCAACTGACAACACTCATACGAGAACAGTCGAGTGTTAAGGGGCACCGACATGATGCAGAAGCGTTTTTTCTTAACACGTTTCAGACATAGTTCAGATACACGAGCACGTGTGTACCCTCGTCTCTTCAGAGTAAATTCGATCCATACGCCGGAATATGTATTGTTGGTACACGCCGTGTCTAATGTGACATGCAACGTTCATGGTTTAAAACGAAATTGCAACCAATTCGCCCGCACACTTTGCGGTGACGTTATACTTGGCAAAAAAATACCCATTTTTCCACTCTCGACAGGAATTCTGGAGGATACGTTCTGTGCGTTGCACACAATTACTTCAGAAAATGACAGCACAGAGCCAAGCAGATGTTACAAGAGCATAATTCTTATCAAGTGGCCCATTGTCGTGAACAAGATACTTTTACTTTTTTTACCGATTGAGCAGCCAAGAATCAAACACGATGACAGATTCATGTCCATTAACATCCAGTTTGAGTAAAGTAAGCCCCGTAAAAAAATTACGAATTGCAGACGGTGTAAAATGATCGATTTGGTCTTGGAAGGCCAGCATTCAGACACACACGAGGCCTCCTGCCATAGACTTTAAGGCTGCTTCTTTCCCGAACATCATTTGAGATCTCTTTGTAAGTTGATTAGTAAGGGTTTATGCTGCGTAACAGTAACTTACTCGTGCGATGAGTTGGATAGACTCAGTTACTATCTCAAAGCTTTTATGTAGTGACACTGAATGATCTACTATGGTCTTACATTTCAGAGCTAGTCTGCAGACCATGCTCCACATTAAGGCAGTAAAGAAATGGACGATGATACTGTCTATGCTGAAAAAAAAACGTTTCTCAATCGCAACGACTTAAGCGCCGCTAGCAAGTGTTTGACAGCTATATTTACGACGGACTTTCCGTGATCAGCACGAATTTAGACAAAATGTCGTCAAAAAAGTGCACGATGCAATATTATCAGCTGTGTTATCGGAAAATTGAGCAACGCTAAAGCATAAATAGCCTTTTTAGACACAGTAACAACGGATAGAGCACCTGAATAGGGTTTACTCTGTTCCTCGTCTCATCCAAGAATCGCTAAGGTCCGCCAAGACGGAAAAAGTCTCAACTTTCAATGGTTCATATCAAACAGTAAAGAAATTGAAGGGCAGGATTTAACAGACCATGCTATCCTGCAGCACGTCTACGCTTTGAATTGGCATTTTTACTGGAAGCGTGGCTGTATGTTAGGTTGTTATAAGTGTGACCAAATCGCCACTCGGCAAAAGCTTTTCTAGTACAATATGACGACGCCATTTCGGAAAATCAACTTTCTTTCCAATTTCGCTTCGTGCTTCGCACGAATGCAAGTGTACTCAAAATTTATTGCTTCGTTACGCAAGGCAACCGATCTTTGACACGATTTTGCGCCAAGAATCGCGTTATCACACGTCACATCTTCGACCCCGAAGCTTCACGTGTGTTTAAGTAATTGTCACTACGTCGTGAAAGCTCTCCAAGAAATAGGCCCTCGAGGATAGTCATTCAATTCCAGATACTAAAAAATTGTTTGAGCTTAAGTAGATTAAATTGAAAAGTACATGACACCAATAAAGTTGAAAGATCATCTTACTTGAAAGGCTCTCGATCTGAATCTGGGTGGAGCCTACAAACCCATTCTTTCGGGGCTGTTGACACGGACTTTCTAAGCCAATGCTCCCCAATAATTCTCATCGACAACAACTTCATACAGGGATAAGGTAGAGATTAGCTATCAATCGAACCGTTTTAATGACTCCCCCACATCACAGCTCCTTTTAAATGAAACTCGTAGAGCCCAATCAGAGCTAGCACAAGAGGAGAGAAGGGGGTAATTACAATGCTTAGGGGTTTCCTACTACTTGTAACTGGGTAACACGTACCCTGGTAAAAAGGAAAGGGTCACACAAGATGGTGTGACCACACAATGGTTTGACTAAAGTTAGTAAGACCTAATAAAAATGCATAAATACTGGCAGTCCTGCCACGCAGTGGCTTATTGATAAGGTGATCAGTCCAAAGGAATTCTCGTTTGTTTTAAGTAGCCTTTTATCGAAAGTGTGCAAGTAATTTACGACTGAGCTGGTACAGTTAGTACCCGATCAAAAGATGAGCACATTATAGGTCATCGATAAGTTTTTTATCGACGCTCTTGAGTGGTGCTGAGTGCGCGGAGTGTAGCCTATATCCTTGAAGATCCTATGAACAATAATATTAATCGTTATATAAATATCATGACGTAATGACAGCAGATTGGATAGCTCGCCGTGAGATTAATGTGGCTTCTGCTGCCAAATTTTGCGTGGCACGCTGAAAGTGCTTACCCGAAGATAAAAGAGAATCAAAGACGGTATCATATGCGCAGAACCCAAAGTGAAAATCCTTTGCTTGGTGCTCGTCTTTTGCGCCAGAAAGGGGCTAATGGCAAGTGGTATTTTTGTGAATCATTTTCATCAGATTAATGTGGCTAGGTCGGTACAGAATCCAAATCTTCAATAGTGAGACGCGGTAGAACAGCATTTCCAATGTTGTCGTGGTGCGTTTTGACTTCAATAAACAATATTTTTAACCGCTTGTGCTAGTCAGTGATATACTCCTGACCTCGGTGAGTACTTTGAGCTGCGCATCCTGGAGATTGCTGGTCTGGCCTCGGGGACCGCGATTGTTAACCTTATTAATACAGCTATAGAGCTTTATTTCAGGTACGCGAGTATGTTTAAACGTTAGCCACACTTTCAAACGTGCAGAGCGCGAGCAGTCGGATATTATATGAGCTGTTTGCCAAACTATAGGCAAACATTTTGCTAACATGACTGCCTCTGTCTCGACTCCAAATTTTGGCGGCGCCATGTTAAACATGCTCATAACAAACTGTTACCAACTGATTATTAGACAAAGCGCCTTCATTTACGGTGTGGGATATCCTTCACAAATTTTTTGCAAATCAATAGCAATGTTTGAACCTACCTTACGTCAGTGTTCATCAAAAATCGAATACTTTCTGAATTGAACAGCAACTAACACCAGGAATAAACATATATCGGTGAAACCGCATTCCATCTCGAGTACTTGCTCCACACAATTGTTCGCATCAAAAGTATTGTATTTAGGACTGATGAATTCAAACTTGTACGAACTCCAATGCATGATTTATGCCTAAAACAGTGCTTTGCGTCAGCTTTGAGGTTACAATGGTGACTTCTTGATGCACATTCAACATCAAATATTCGCTTTTTGTCCATTTGCTCAGGCATATAATTTGGCGATCAAAGTGAAGGGACTGGAACCTTTGGTGGACTTCTCTATTAAATTTATACCATACCGCAGATAAAAAATATATATTTGAAGAGACTTACCTGGTGCCAACATTTCCAAACCACCTTCTTCCCAGTCTACATCGACATGCCCCACCCCGTCCTGTGGTGGGGTGGTAGGCCCATTATTATTATTTAAATTTGTATGCACTACACTAATTAGTAGGTGGTTACAATGAAACACATTTATTTTTATTTTAGCTTAAAAATTGGATCAGGACTAAATCAACTTTAATATAGTCATCTTAACTTGATCAGAAGATCCGCACACGGTTGTGGTTGAAAAAGCGCGTACGACAGGTAAGAAAGAAAACCAAGCCTCATGGTAAAGCTACCTCCGCGCAAGAGTGCGTGTAACCAGCTTGTCTGTTACACCGAATAGAACTTGTGGTCAACCCACCAACGACATTGAAGATGTCCGATTCCAGCTACCAGACTGACTTCCCAGCCCAACTGTCACCGTTGAACCACTCCAACTATCAGACGCGGAATGGGCCGTCGTCGGCAATATATATTAGATCCTCGAAGGTGAAGCCTGTTGTGTCACGAACAAGATGTGGTCAAGAAGCACGTCCACCTCTTCATGGCTTGTGAGTTGTTGAACAAGTCTTGACAAAAATTACAACTTCCCTTACGTCGGAGCCGACAATCATTGAGCACATGGTGATCGTGTTGCCCTGTCTCTCCCGACTGCACCGACCCCGGTTGTCCAGGTGAAGATGCCACCATCGCCACGGAACGAAGTCACCCCAATACTGCTGAAGATTGCGGTTCAACCTTTCATCGGAAAGCAGAGATGAAACCTCAACTTTTGTTTCCACCAAGTGGATATGATATTGGCGGCAGTGCTGGTTCACCAGGGTCGCTAGAAGGTTATATTTGCGTTTTTGCATATGCAAGGTGCTGTCCATAACGGGCTTTAAAATTGAAGATCAAAATATCGTCGTCAGTTTTCCTCCTCAAATTTCTTCCAAGAATCGATGGCTAAGATGTTTCGTCTGCCGAATGAGGCGTTCAAACATCGTGTGGTGTTTTTGAGTTGTCGCTATGGTAAGCACTCAAACTACGACTGCAAACTAAAAATTTCGCAAGTTGCGACTGTCGCTAGCCGAAAATCCGATTCCGGAAGACGTGATGGTCACCGTTTGGACGTACTCAAAATCGGCCTCAAAAGACTGAAGAATTTCATCGACAACCGACCAAGCTTGAAGATGCAATCTTCGTCGCCCTTCTGGAGGATCAGGTTTAGTGACAATCGCGAGGTTTACACACTGGTCTCGCCGACGTGCAGCCGCCGTCAAGAGGTGGTCCCGAACCCATGGGCCTGTTTATGATTGATCGCCTACTTGTAACCTGGCTCAGTGCGCCACTTCGAACGGGACAGCCCGACGAAGATATGTAGGTCCAATTCTACTGGAGTATTGCCAGTATACCTTACTCTTGGGCAAGGAAGATGGCGTCGAGCCAGCCAACATGGTCGCCGTTTGGCCAATTTTCGCAGCGGTCGATGTTGTTACATCTTCTAGTGTCGTCGAAAAACGCGCAGGTCTAGTAGGTGCGGGGCTGCCTACAAGGGAGGAACCAGCGAATTTTGCCTGCGCTAATATGTGCAAGGAAAGCCGCTGGCCCCAAAAAAGTTTCTACTTTCCACGAAGGGGGAGAAGAAGGAAGGCCTTCTCGTTACTTCGGCAACGGTAAAGAAATTTGAAAGACCCTTCAGACTTCTTATTGCCTTTAGAGCGCCAACTTTATAAGCTCTTAAGAAAAGTATTGCGGAGATCCGCTTCTCTTCGATGCAGTATGTGCGTTGCTGAATCGTAATAGTCATGTTCGTATTGCGATGGGTGCAATTGTTACGCAGCAGAAAATTTAAGTCGATCTAGGAGTCAGATTCTCATGCTTTGCCTTCAAGTCGACGTTCTTCAACATCGACATGGATGATTGGTATGATCTCATACTAAAATATGCTTGGTTAGAAGACCAGCCTGGAAAAGCAGGTAGATCAAGAGTAGCTCACCGGGTGGAAGTCATACCCACAGACGTCATGGCCCTTCTGTGGCTATCCACCAGTGTAGCACCTTCACAATCGAAGATAGGCTCACTGTGTTGGCGCTTGCGACATAGTAAGGCCACAAATTACCAAGAAGGTGCGGTTCGCGACACCGGTTGTGTCAAAACAAGTTATTGCGGTAGACGGACCTACCGTGGAAGCTGTTGCTCCAGTAGTCAGTGCTATTATGGATGCTCTCGCTCTGATGATTAGATTCATCGTGAAAGCTCGCTACGCTACGAAAGCGAGCTAATGTGAGACCACTTAATAAAAAGCCTATTGTAGAAGCCTACTATGCTCCAGTAGTTGAAACTACTGTAGAAGCCAATACTCCGGTAGATGACACTACCGTGGAAGCATGTGTTGCTCCAGTAGGCAAATCTACTGTGGAAGCAACAGCTCCAACAGCTATGCTAGTGTGGAAACACTATTTACATCAGTAGGGAGTACTACTGTGTAGATTTGGACTCCAGCAGCTAACGCTACTGTGATCACGTCATACTATGATAGTACAAACTACCGAGGAGGCTAAAGCTCCAGTAGATAGAACTACTGCGGAACCCCACAAGCTGAGTTACAACGCTCCGGTAGATATTTCTACCGTGGACACCATCGCTCCCGTAGTCGAATCCACAATGGAAGCTGATGGTCTAGTGGTTCAGACCACTAAGACTCAGTTGTGAGCGCAGTACTCGACCAGGCTTATATGGCCCCACTATCAAAAATCTGCTCTCACTAGCCTGGAACAACTAACTTTCCCTAGACTTCGTGAGGACCTAATGAATAGCGGGCTCGCCGAAATAGTTATGATTCGACGTGCAAGCGCAGCGACAGAAGAGGTTGTACGTCCTCTGTCTTGGATCCAAGTGTCGTCGAAACAGTATTTTTTGAATCGCGACGCGAATCAATGATTTTCAGAAATTTTGTACGAATCTTATTTCGCCCTTGTTTCAAGTACACGTAAACGTGTTTTAGTCCGGAACTCTCAAGTGGTCTCTCGCCAGATCGTGGTATACGACTCGAGATCAAGATCTAAGCAGGTGCAGGATGTCTGCTCTTGCGTCAATGGTCATTGTTAGCTGAGCAATCCGAGTTTATAGACTTGCTCTTTGCTGCTAAATAGCAACAGGGGAGGGTAAGAGAGAGTAGATCATCCACAGTGCGCCAACGTTGCGCACTATACACGCACCAACAAGTTGAGCGCCAAAACTTTGCCAGCACAAACCCCTATTCTTCACAAGGATCCCATCATCAACATAATGACTAGCTTGAAACGCTTTAGCATGCTTAATTTATTAGATGGCTAATGTCAAGTTTTAAACTTCATTGAAGTCATATACAGCAATAAGTGCACCTAGTGGTATGCTATGGGAGTGGCTTGTGATGCCACAAGATTACAAGTACCCTGGTGTGAAAGGACGGGTGCACAAGATGGTGTGACCGTACTTAGGTGTGGATTGCACAAGTTAGTGCAATCACACAATGGTGTGGCTAAACTGTAACAAGAAGTTACTACGTGACAGGATTGCCAGTAGTTATGCAAATTAATTAGGTTTTGTATATAAATTAGGTATTGCTATATTAATTAGATAAACCTAGTGTTTTAGAAATTGGCAATTCTGCCGCAAACTAAAACAAGTAAACACAGTTTCACTACTGAACAGAAGAGTTCATTCGCCTTGGATAAGGTTTCAAGTTTTCTTGGTGGCAGCTAATTACGATCCGCTGCACTCGTACTAGTCCTTGTAAGGAACGTAAGGTCGGTGACCTTACCTTTGCTTCCTCTAAGCAAAGAGCTACAGCAGCCCCGCTACACAAGGACTCGCTTTTTGCGCCAGCGACGTTGTACAGTCACGTTTCAAATTCATGTTGTCCTTTGCGATCGCTTGCGTCGACGTTTTTCGACGACCCTTTTGCCCATTTGAAATCCGAAACAGGCCTATCTATCTTTCAAGTCCATCTCGAACACCTGGAACAGGTATTGGCGTGTATGACAAAGTATCGGATATTTGCCAACATTAAAAAATGCATTATAAGCGCATAAGAAGTACCAGTTTTTGGTTGCTTTGTCGGCTGTTCGGGCAGACATTGAAAATTAAAGCGATCTCGGAATGGCCGACGTCAACTAATTGAATGATTCGATAAAAATGTTTGAGCTTGGCCAATTCTTAGTATCGATATACCGAGAACTATGCAGACATGGCACGCCCGTTATAGTACGATGCCTCTGACTTTACGATCGGATGTGCATTGCTGCAGCAAAATGTTTAAGTTCAAAAATGTGTCACATCGTATCAGTCAAGGCAGCTGAACGGAATCACCCCGCTTACGACAAGAAATTGTTAGCAACGAAATATCCACCTCTTGGGTTTCAAGCCATTCGTCGTTTATATCAACCACACATCACTGTGTACAGCGACGCGAACGCCACGTTCGTTGTCATTTATTTGCATAATTTAACTTTACAGTGCCTTATAAGCCAGGCAAATTAAATGTCTTAGCGGTTGCTTTATCTCGGTGTCCCAATTACGAGATTTCTGTGACTTCGCAAATTACATTCAGCGTGTTCAACATCATAGGACAAATGTAGCCAAACGACCCAGCCTGTGCTGCTATCCTTAATTGATTGACCACTAAGAAAAATTCAGTCTTATCGACATATTCCCGCGGGTCCGCTGTCTATCCCATCGATAATCCTTCGAGGACGGATTGTTGTACTACCAAGTACACGAATTTCGTACCCAACAACGAAGACCCAAAGCACAACTTGGTGTATGAAGTAATTGATATGCCTACCGCAGGCCATAGTCGTCTAAAAAAGACTTATGCAGCGCTTGCACACGGCTTAAAATGTATGCTTGGGTTGAGAAGTACCTTTTACGTGTGACGTATGCCAGCGCGTAACGACCTCCCCACAAATTCAGGTTCCATTGAAGAGTCTGTCAGTACCAGCAGGATGCTGACAGTCCGTCAGTTCGGACTTTACTATGAGGTATCCCCTGATGCCGTAGCGCATAATCGTGTTTTGGGCTTCGAAGACGTTTGTGCGAGGTGCACCTTGCTAAAACGGATTTTTTCTGTTACTGTGAAACAATGCGCTCGATAATTCATTGTTCATGTCTTTCGACATCATGGATTACCAGATTTAAACGTATCCGACCGTGATACGCGCTTTACAGTGGACTTTTGGACAACTTATTTCGTTTACTAGGCACTCGCCTAGAGATGACCACCAAGAATTAGCAAGATTTACAGAAATCTAGTGCTGATACGCATGGACGTGGAAACACACGAGTATTCAACGAAGGTGAGTATGTACTCATCAGTACCAAGACCATGGCTGACCTTGCCGTCTCTAGTCTAGGATCTTCCAAGATCCTTCCCCGATACATCGGTCTCTTTAAGGTTTTCTGGAAATGCATAAACATGGGACTTACCAAGCTGAATTTGTATCCATTCAACGTTTTACGTCGGTTTGCTCAAGTCATACCTTAGTAATACTCCAACCATACGGATTGTACGAGCGAGGTTGATCGTAGTCCAGTGACAAAGATCGTGAACGAGGACGAACGCGCCATTGAAACCCAAGAGTCGAATCACTCTGTGCCACAGCACTCTGAAGTTGATGAACTTCGTCATGAAGACGTCGATTTTCCGCTTGAAGCCGAGCGGCTTCCGTCCACAAAGCAGATATTGCTGTGCGAACGTTCACCACCAAATGGCGAACTCAGCCAGCAGTGATTTCGTCACCTTCGACATTTAATGACCAATCCTCGGGATCGCGCTCGCATTTGCATCCGAGGATGCCACCACCCTGTCTAGTCGCATCGATGCATCGCTCATCGGCAAGCGTAGCACCGACGAAAACGCCATCGACGACATCGTGTGGAGCTACAGCCTCCTGTGAAATGGTTCGGCTATGCGGATTCGGATAGCTCGTGGGAACCACACTCACAACACCTTGCTGGTTGCAGTGATGTAGTCGCGAGTGGGAGGTTGCAAGCCCCCACTGGCTCCACATGGAGCCGAAACGTAAGAGAAACTTGTCCCATCGCTTAAGATCCAACGATAGGATTCGACGACGACGAATGCAGTGACGTAGCTGGTGGTGGATACTCCACTATATCTCTACGACACAGGGGACTCCTCAGGTTCTTCAAGTTTGATCTTCATACCAGCGCTTGTCTTGGAAGCTGTGGAATGTGCCACGTGCATCATTCGACATTGATTGCAAAGCGTGTTCTCCACGTTTGGTGCGGGCTGCTGGCATCGTCGCCGTTGGCGCACTCGTTTGAGATGTAGGCGCAGTCGCTGACCCTTGGATGTTTTTTGCTTCGGCAACGCTCTTCATGGTCATCCGTCGACATGTGGTCGTTGCTCGACTCGATGTATAGATTTGTGGCGGATTGTTTCAACGCTTTAATTTGTGGAGAAGACCAAACAGAGGTGTTGTCTTCTTTGTCGCCGTCCGACTTTGCAGGCGCCATCATTTCCTGTTGCACTGGTTGTGTTGGCGACTCCGCTTGACGCTGACGTCGCTCCACGGCAAGTTTTTCCCGAGAATGGCAGTTTGGCGTGCTCGTATCTTTGCCACGGGCGTGTCGCTGTCGCCAGGCTTGAGAGGAGCCACTCAGCGTTATTTCCATATATATGTCTCTCGCGTCAGCGTCTCTCGTAATGTCGTGTTTGACGTCCTTAGTACAAGATCTTCTTTCAGGCACCACTGTTATTATTGGACATGTGTACGTCTTTTTTTGGTAGGGGTGGTGTAATGGGGTGGTTGGTCCATTACACAATTTGTGTGGACACACTGAGTTACTAATTGACTTTGTGTGCGCTATGCTAAGTAGTAGTTAGGCTCATTTATTTCTATTTAAGTTTGAGATTTGGAGTAGAATACCACCTATAGTATATTCATACTTCATTTGATCAAGAGATCCACACAGGGTTGTAGTTAGAGGGATGCGTACGACAGCTACGCAAGAAGACCAAGCCTCAAGTTAAAGCTACCTTCGCGCAAGAGTGCGTGTATTAAGCTGTCACCATACACATCCATGGGAGCTGACATGCTTCTAACGCTTCTGTAAGGCAGTCTGCTCTGGTTGCGCACACAGTACTAGTACCTGAGGCATAGGCGATGAAACGGGCTGACGACTAGATTCGATTCAATACCAGCTAGCGAACTAAGCTTGGTAAGCTCTACTTGCTTGGTAAGCTCTACTTGCTTGGTAAGCTCTACTTGCTTGCCTGCTAGCGCGATAGTCACAGCGTCTTTCAAAAGTATATATCACGTCGTGATTATGGCTGTGAACCGCCAGAGTCGATCCGTTGAGAGCATTTCGCCGCTTTGCAGCACAGTCACTAAGCGCTCATTTTTATCAATAGAGAGAAACTCTTGCGCGAGTTGTTATCCATGACCAAACAGGTCAAGACTCCCCGAGGGTACCGCGTAAGGTAATAAGCGTCTGTTGTGGAAAACTGGTCGTCTTTGTTATGCGCTACAAGAGCTACAAGTACGGGTCGGTCGGATATAGGTATCCCAACCAGCTGAAAACCGGATCGATAATTTAAGCAGAATTTGGCTCAGTGATTGGGGACGGTTGAGCCTTTGCTTCACCGTCATCACTACTGCTACAAGCTAAACTTTCAGCTTTATAGCAAACAATAATGTTGCTCAGAGTCTGGTGCTCGACATTAAGACCAGTGAAGTAGATGCCAACAAAAAAATCAAATTTTTATGATAATCAAGCGCAACAAAAAATGAAGGCTCAGAAGTCAAGACGCAATTGCTTACTTTTAATGCTTACACCATACCTAGGCACGATGTGTGCCATTACCTCGGCTTACCATTCAGCAAATCGCGATAATCGTGTAAAGCGAGCATTGTAACCTAATTCGTGATAAGCCGACGTACGCCCTAGTATTGACCGAGCTCAGTTGAAAGTTGCTATGTATTATCTTATAACATGGCTATACCTACTCGGCCCTGACTAAGATATTACATTGCTTCCTTCCGCTGGGGTATCAAGATTGTTTATTTCTGTACGAGTCGCCATCCCGAAGTCCTTATTGGCTGTTGTCGGTAATATTTTGCATGCAGCCGACATTTCTTGCATGTCTGGTTCGATTGCGATTTTGTTCGCTGAGGGGCTCGAACCCGCGCCACACACCGTTAGGTCCAGAAGCATTGACCACTTGACCCACGCCACTGGGTATCAACCAAGCTCAGTGGCTTAATCGAGTATTAAAAAAATCAACGAGAACTTAAATTTTTAATTTGCAAATTAACAATTCCGCTAAAAAGTAGATTTGAGGATATTGCAATATTTGAAAGAGTAGTTGGATGAAGTCTTGCCTCATATCGATGATCGCTAATAATATCGACCCACACCGCTCACTTACTTGGATTACAATTCCGTGTAAGCCCCACCACATGCGCATCTTGCTTTAAAGTTTTGTAGCGAATGGTGTTTGTGGTTAGGTTAAATATATATAAATGAAAGCAACAAAACAAGCTGATTTGCTCAGACGGTTCAAAATTAATATACCGATATTTAGGGCTCATGATTCTTAAGACAGAACTGAAGTCCATACGTTTGGTTTGTCATCACTCTGCACAGCCATAAAAGCCGACGCATCCGACTACGGACGTGTTTTCACGTGAGCACGTAAGGGAATACTACCTAATACATGTTTGCCACCAGAATATCGCGCTAGCTGCGCATTATTTTTGTTTTCATCTAGAGTGGCCACGAAAGTTAATCAATTGTCTCACAATGTATTTTGTACGCTGAGACCATGCTATAATGCAGCAACCTTAGGATAAGAAATAGCGGTGGAGGTGTGCAGACACGCGCTTGAACGGAGCGACATTTCAGTTTGATTGCTTTGTGTTTTCCAAAGCGTTCAACAGCGCAATTTTTCATACGTGGACTTACGCATTACATCTGCGATACGCAAATCCACAAGCGTGACGTGACACACGTCATGGTCGGAGCAACAGAATTGTGTGGTCGCCACAGCTTTAAGTCGACCAAGCGTCTACCATATCTCGAGCGTATACTCAGCTAAGAGAAATTCTAATTTACCAAGTTTTTGAGAGAGGTGGTGATGACGTCGCTGGTCGCACCGATGCATATCCTGTGAAGATCGCAATATCGTAGCGCCAAGTCGGAGCGTTATGAACTCGGTAAGAACACACTCTATTTCACACAATTATCCAAAAAAATCTTTGCAGTTTTGAGCTGTCGAGAATCGAGGGCGTTAACTTGCTCATGCTCATTAACATAACGGCTTGGATTAAAATATAAGCTGAAGCATTACATACGACACGAAGCGGCTAGTTCGGTCTTGAAAGAGTCCGAATCAACACATTGTGACATGATTCATATTCTTTAAAAATAGTTTCTTCAGTCGTGCCTAGTACCGTTCGTCTTCTGTATCACGACGATTAACAAAAGGGTAGTATAGTCTAATCGGCACAATATTTACGCAAGTAATTGAATATGTCAAGCCATTATCAAAAGAATGTTGGGCAGAGTCACTTTCCAGCCCACCATGGTTTGGTTGGTGCCGGATCCGCCACCAGACCATATGTCCCAATTAAAATAATTAATGGGATGATTCTGTTTAGGCCAAATACACAGGATTTCGCTAATAAAAAGATTGTTTAGAGTATATACCTAAGCTCTGCTAGCAAATGTCTAATGTGAATGTCTACATCGATTTCTTCGTGCTCCGTACGAGTATAGACAACTGTATGGTTGTAGCTGGTCACTGCATATGCATGACGCGGTTGCTTCCCTCGAGCAATGTTAGTGCATTACACCGAGTCTGAGCATAATTCTTTTTCTCATAGCATTTTGCAAGGTATATACACTGCTGTAAAAGAAATCCATTTGTTTCTTGCGAGCCGTCAAAATATCTATTAACAAGGCCAACGAACAATGGCAAATAACTTTGCCGTTCTGCAGCCAATTCTTCTAAAAAAGCGTTAATTACGCCACGAAAGTATGTGCACTCTAAGCATGCACCACGCAATGCTTGCCTTAAATAATTTTGAAGCGGATAGTGGAATCTAAATCAAGAGGTAGATTGTCTCTCTTCAAGCCTGTATCGTGTATCGCAAGATGAAAACATATATGACATCACACCGTAAAACGTGAGAAGGGGTATTGATGTGTTACCCAATATTTTGTTCCAGAAGTTATGCCACTCAAGTTGGCCCTGCAATTCAAATCATTCGCAGAGTAATGTACTCAGTGAATGATGTCTGCCATAGAAATATCATTAGAAATCTAGGAATCACTTGACGCCTCCAAGCAAGTCAGCCGCGCATTTTTTCCCACTCAGTCGGTAATATTTGCCACTGCTATAACTATTACGTACGCATAATACAGAGTGTAATATTAATTATTGATCAGATAGCATATCATATCAATGACGCACTCATGATTCCAGAAAAAACACTGATACAATTTTCTTATCATCACGACGTGGAACTCCTGCAATAGAATACTTATTTTTCTAGATTGCTTGAGGACACCACCCCACTCATCGTACACAGTGCTTTCATTGGTACCTTTGCTAGCTGACTCATCCTAAAAAAAAGAGGAGCAACGCTTCTCCTCTGAAATAAGTCGTTTATATCTCCAGCATACTTATCCACAGTATGGGGGAGAGGAAGACGGCGACGTCACCCTCGAGGCTATTCTTGCGGTGGTTGCTCTTCTTGACCTGGACGAGATGTCCCTCGAAGAGTTAAGCGGTGACTTGAAGGCAGGCAATTTTGCCGAGGTGGTCATTAAACGACCGAAGGAGTAGAATTACTCGTCGTCTCTTCGGGACGAAGCTGCCCTGGACGGCACTAAGTTGGCGCCGAACGCACGAAGTGGATCATTGATCTTGGAGGATCCATCGAATCCGATTATTTTTTGGTAAAGGAATTCCAAGACGTCGTCTTAAACACCCGCCACCGGTCCAGCCTCCGAACCGAGGTGTGCAGCATTCTGCTTTCCTGAATTATACTCCACCTCGATGGTATATTCTGCAAAGAATGAGGGTCACTCTGCGAGAGTTAAGGCGACTGAGTCGCAGCGCCTGATGACGCATGATCTGTGTAGATCACAAACGGCTTTAAGCTAAGCAGAATCACCCTGAACTTTACAAGTGCATACTTCATCGCAAGTAATTCCTTGTCGTAGACCGAGTAGTTCTTCTCCGCAGTCTTAAGC